GTACAACATATGATATATGACCTACAAGCTATAAGCAACCTACTGTACAACATATGATAGGGCCTACCAACCTACTCTACAACATATGATAGGGCCTACCATACGTTTACAACTTCCTGTACAACATATGATATATGACCTACAAGCTATAAGCAACCTACTGTACAACATATGATAGGGCCTACCATACGTTTACAACTTCCTGTACAACATATGATATATGACCTACAAGCTATAAGCAACCTACTGTACAACATATGATAGGGCCTACCATACGTTTACAACTTCCTGTACAACATATGATATATGACCTACAAGCTATAAGCAACTTACTGTACAACATATGATAGGGCCTACCATACGTTTACAACTTCCTGTACAACATATGATATATGACCTACAAGCTATAAGCAACCTACTGTACAACATATGATAGGGCCTACCATACGTTTACAACTTCCTGTACAACATATGATATATGACCTACAAGCTATAAGCAACCTACTGTACAACATATGATAGGGCCTACCATACGTTTACAACTTCCTGTACAACATATGATATATGACCTACAAGCTATACGCAACCTACTGTACAACATATCATAGGGCCTACCATACGTTTAGAACTTCCTGTACAACGTATGATATACGACCTTCAAGCTAGAAGCAGCCTACTGTACAACATATGATAGGAACTACCATACGTTTACAACTTCCTACGATCGTACGCTCTAATCGCAAATACTCCCTGGATGTGTCTCTAGGTCCGCCAGCGTCCGTGCTGGTGGGCTCTGTCTCCATACTTGAACGTCTGTGCAGGATTGTATTGTCTCCATAGTTGAACGTCTGTGCAGGATTGTACTGTCTCCATCGTTGAACGTCTGTGCAAAGTTGTAGTGTTTCCATAGTTGAATGGATTGTACTGTCTCCATAGTTGAACGTCCGTGTTGGATTGTACTGTCTCCATAGTTGAACGTCTGTGCAGATTGTATCGTCTCCATCTTTGAACGTCCGTGTTGGATTGTATTGTCTCCATAGTTGAACGCCTGTGCAGGATTGTACTGTCTCCATAGTTGAACGTCCGTGTTGGATTGTATCGTCTCCATCGTTGAACGTCCGTGTTGGATTGTACTGTATCCATCGTTGAACGTCCGTGTTGGATTGTATCGTCTCCATCGTTGAACGTCTGTGTTGGATTGTACTGTCTCCATCGTTGAACGTCCGTGTTGGATTGTATCGTCTCCATCGTTGAACGTCCGTGTTGGATTGTATCGTCTCCATAGTTGAACGCCTGTGCAGGATTGTACTGTCTCCATAGTTGAACGCCTGTGCAGGATTGTTCTGTCTCCATAGTTGAACGTCTGTGCAGATTGTATCGTCTCCATCGTTGAACGTCCGTGTTGGATTGTACTGTCTCCATCGTTGAACGTCCGTGTTGGATTGTACTGTCTCCATAGTTGAACGTCTGTGTTGGATTGTACTGTCTCCATAGTTGAACGTCTGTGCAGATTGTATCGTCTCCATCGTTGAACGTCCGTGTTGGATTGTATCGTCTCCATAGTTGAACGCCTGTGCAGGATTGTACTGTCTCCATAGTTGAACGTCTGTGCAGATTGTATCGTCTCCATCGTTGAACGTCCATGTTGGATTGTATCGTCTCCATAGTTGAACGCCTGTGCAGGATTGTACTGTCTCCATAGTTGAACGTCCGTTTTGGATTGTATCGTCTCCATCGTTGAACGTCCGTGTTGGATTGTACTGTATCCATCGTTAAACGTCCGTGCAGGATTGTACTGTATCCATCGTTGAACGTCCGTGCAGGATTGTACTGTCTCCATAGTTGAACGCCTGTGCAGGATTGTACTGTCTCCATAGTTGAACGTCTGTGCAGATTGTATCGTCTCCATCGTTGAACGTCCGTGTTGGATTGTATCGTCTCCATCGTTGAACGTCCGTGTCGGATTGTACTGTCTCCATAGTTGAACGTCCGTGTTGGATTGTACTGTCTCCATAGTTGAACGTCCGTGTTGGATTGTATTGTCTCCATCGTTGAACGTCCGTGTTGGATTGTACTGTCTCCATCGTTGAACGTCCGTGTTGGATTTTATTGTCTCCATAGATGGACGTCTATGCTGATTGCATACTAAAATGTGTGTGGTGGGTTACCGTGTGGTTGGTGGTTACCGTGTGCTGGGTCACCTTGTGGAGTAACATATTGTTATGCGGCAGTGCTAATCATAGTGTAACAATATTTCAAGTGTATAACATTGATCAGTAGGTGGCAGTGGGGAGCTATACTTAGACAGAATTCTGGACATTGGTACAGAGTACTACTACCGTATGGCCCTTTCCACTACATTCTGACCCAGGGAGTTGGAGAATCTTCTTAAGTAATTTTCTTAGCTACGTGAGCTAACTCTTGCCTCTCACATCCCGGTGACAGAAGACCAGCACGTGTGTGGAGATTATTCCTTCAGTGTATACTCGTCCTTTTTTTGTAACCATTGTTGCAGTGTGCTGTGGTTTCTTATTACTATAATCCCTATTCTTGTATTACGCTCTCAGCGACTGATTTCCGCTTAACATTTAGTTTCAACTTGAATCAACAACCAACACTGTGCTTGGTCAATAGCCAGTGACTCAAAACACGCAATGATGCATATCCCATATGAAATGGATGACGGGACATATTTGTGAGCATGTTCATGGAAACAGTATATTTCACATTTGTCTAAACACACACACACACGCGCACGCACACACACAATTCATCTTACTTGTATCAGTAAATTGTAGCATTTGTTCACTTAACACCAATGATGATATTTCTTCTTAATCTATTAAAGGCATATGCTAGACACCCCCGAATACCGTGCCATATTATTGGGGGAAACTTTCATGTTAAAATGCTTCACAAATATAGCCATTTCCCCCACCTAAACATAAAAGAAGGAAAATGTGACTTTTACCAAATTTAAAGAGAAAATCTGCATACACCAATTGAGACAACACAAATTAAAATTACTTTCTGCTGTCATCCTGTTCCTGTCCCATGGAAATTAACTCATGCCTACATGTACAGTACAACCAGAAATTATTGAGAATTTAAAGATTGTAATATTTTTTATTGTGTTCACTCATTACTCACGTATTAAATGTGAATATTAGCAGAACATAACTCCAAATTCAAACACAGGTGAACAGTTAGTATTTTGTCAGGTCACCATGGGCAGCAATGCAGGCTTCAATGCGGCGGGGCATACTATTGATCAAAGAAGTTAGAAAGTCGTGGTCCACGCTATCCCAATATCGGACCACCTCTTCTTTCATTTCAGCAATATTTGTCAGATTTTTCTTATTGACACTTTCCTTCATAAGTCCCCAAACATTTTCTATTGAATTTAGGTCAGGGCTATAGCTTGGCCAATCTAATACTGTCTTATTTTGGGTCCGAATGCTTTGAACGATGTTTTGGGTCGTTGTCCTGCTGGAAAATCCAAACATTTCCATAGTACACGTGAGCAGATGGAAGTAAATGTCCCTCGAGAATATCTGTGTACCGTTCACTGTTCATACTCCCTTCAAATACACAGAGGGGCGTTGCCCCTAACACAGATATGCCACCCCACACGTTAAATTTCGGACTGTACTTTGGGCGCTGATACAAAGGTTTTTCAGTTTGTTTGGTCCAGAATTTCAGTGTATTAGGAAACAGCCACACAGAACTTTCATCTGAGAAAATCGCATTGTCCTAGTTAAAATTTCTATGCTGTAAGCACCAGTTCAACCTTCGCCCCTTTTGTTCAGGTTTCATGATCGGTGATGGAATTCCTCGACTTTCTGCCAACCCATTGCATGCAGCTCAGTTCTAATTGTCTCCTTACAGACAGCCACAGTTCCTCTATCAATCATATCCAGCCTTAAGTTTTCTAACTCCTTCGTTTGTTTTTAGCAACAAGAATACCAAGCCGCCTCCTGTCACCGACAGTCAATTTTCTGGGCCTACCTGCGCCTCCCTGCTGCTCAATGCCATATGCAATATTTTTCAAAACACGATAAACAGTGGACAAAGGGATGCCTGTTCTACTTGAAATCACTTTAGCTGATCTGCTGTCCTTGTTATAATACTCTAAAATCAACTTCCTCTTCTCTAAATCATCCATACTGAGGATCACTGAAAATATCGTCTGCTAGCAAGTAGACAAAGGTGGATAGCTCTTCACAAACTAATGAAAAATTATTAACGAAGTTGTCTCTCTTGAATGAAACCAAGCACTTGATAGCTGGTCAAGGTTGTTAATACTAGAAATCCAATTAAACATATTCCTAAAATTCTCAATAATTTCTGGTCGTACTATATTACATCATTAATATCCTAGCTCCCGAATAACTTTCATATATAAATATAAATTTACACATGGCTTGATTTTGCTCATATGCAGATCGAGCGAAACTAACAGAGCCGATTTCATACTGTTTGTAAAATGGTATGGTCATTGTATGCCACCATGATCAGTTGATGATACTGCAATTTACTGTTATTATCCTTCTCTGTTTCCACTGCCCATGGTCGATAGCTATAAATAGATAACACACTCACGACCTGGAACAGGAAGTACATGACCTCTGTTGCATGTGACACGACCTAAGGAACCTACTGTCAATTGTCCGAATGCCAAGCTGATTGTAACGATATTAACGAAGCATATGAAGTAGCCACGAAGACTATAAAACGACGGGCAGGGTGCCTATGCTACGCTACAGGGGTGTCAAACTCTGTGGACCTTGGCTGGGTGGCACTAAAGGGACGCAACTCCTGTAAGCGATAAAGTTTCATGTCGTAAATTCATGATACTTTCCTGTACGCGTTGCATTACATCGAGCCATGGAAACGTATTCTAGACACAGTACTGTTAAATCAAGGTAATATAAAAGTTTTATGTGGACATTAAATCAACAAAGGCCTCAATAACGACAATCAGACTGGTTTCAATTTCGCAGTTTACTTCCTGCTTCGGGCGACCCAGAGTGAAGTGGTAACCTGTCCATGTAAATACGCAGAATATAGAAGGCTTCAGGTATTGATGAACACAGCCGATAAAAGATAATTTGGCTTTCTTACGAAGTGTATATGTCATTATATGAATCAGAAGTTCCTATGTTGTTTTAATTCCTCCTTTCAGACGTTGAACTACCAGCCTACAGTCGACAGTTCAGCCGTGACCAATGTGACGGATTCCGCTGGTGACATGGCGTCTAACTCGGATGACGATGATGTGTCGATTCCTTCACGTTATAGGTAAGCATAACATCGGAGACCCGACCCTTGACCTTATGGTACAGCCATCGTCTTAGAAAATGACAGCAAAGATGTCTTGTAATTGACATCAACCCCAGGTAATGCAACTTCACTGTCTGAACTAGAAATATACAAGGCACGTTGTGATTGTACAAGAGCCCTTACAGCTGAGTAATACCAAACAGAAGCCTTGTGTTTAGCATGTCATCTATCACCAATTAAAGTCTGTGTGCTTTACCCCAGAACGTATGGCTAGCTTTTGGTCCTATCTGTAAATATTCTTGTCATTTGGTACTAATCCCATTTGCAGATAGTATGAATGTTTCATTTCTTCACCCCAGTTTTCAGCTGATGTTTTCCAGGAGTGACTATTGCCACTCACTATTGTAGACAGACTCCTTGGTCAGGTGGTTAGAGCGTTTGTCAAGAGTGTCAAAACAAAAGTGCCAATGTCATGCCAGTAGTGCCTGAGTCATACCAAATGGGGACTGTTATGCAATGTTGTCTACAGATAAACTTGGAACACTGTCAAAGTATGATGCTAGGCAGTCAAATATAGGGCCACTTAAATATCACATATACTCTAGGGGGGTACAAATACATAAATCACTAACTGGCATCGCTATAAATGAAACCCCGTCATTAAAACTACTCACTTCGGTCTTTAATTAACTTAAATCAGGGATACTCTACAACAGGGATAGGTCACTCGCTTGCTTTCTTTACCATTTGTACTAATTAACGTGTGCCTCATCATGCTCCAACGCACACAGTGACTTGGTTCGGTCCCAGCGCAACTTCGGCTACGTTTATCAGTACTTCAGCCAGTGTATTGTATAGGTCGGAATTTTACAATGAATGAATGAATGAATTAAGAGCAAGAATTTTATGTGAATGAATGAAAGAAATTAAGAAAAAGAACAAAAGAAAAGAACATATGTGAATGAATGAAAGAATAAATGATACACCACGCCATCCCTCCCCAAACATGTTAAAGAACGCTTAAAACTATCGGTAGAACACATGTTAACATCAGCTGTCCTTTTTATAAAAAATCTACTTTGAGACATTTTTTTACATTAGTAACTAATTCAGATATCTTATTGCATGTGTGGAATGGCATAGGCATTGACAGAATGTTAACTGACACTGTCACAGATCCCTCAAGAACAGAAAGTTTAGAACTATCACAAAGCCTTGCAAACCCCTTTCCAGTTTTGTCAAATACTAAGATCAACAAGAAAGAAAGAAGTTTTAGAACTATAACACTCAAGCATCACAAGCACCAATGGCGTATCAGAACAGATCGGCGATATGTCATATTTTTCACACACCTCAAATACAAACTAACAACAACAAAAAAAATAAAACTATCACTTTTACTTGCAAAAAACTTTCACCTGATGGTATATTCCCCTCATAAAAATTAAAGGTGTATGTGAAAGATGTTTTAGAACAATAACTAGAAACACTCAAACAACGCCCTGTAGTATTTCAATGGCAGATCGGCGATATGTTATATTTTTCACACAACTCAAATACACTCTAACATTTTTTTTTTAATTATAAAACTATTACTATTACTTGCAAACACCTTTCACCTGATGGTATATTCCCCATAAAATAAAAATTGAAGGTGTATGTGAAAGATGTTTTTGAACACTAACTAGAAACACTCAAACAACTTCCCTGTAGTATTCTCAAATGGCATAATGTCAACACACCAAAAATTGAAGGTGTATGTGAAAGATGTTTTTGAACACTAACTAGAAACACTCAAACAACTTCCCTGTAGTATTTCAATGGCAGATCGGCGATATGTCATATTTTCACACACCTCAAATACACACTAACAATTTTTTAAATTATAAAACTATTACTATTACTTGCAAACACCTTTCACCTGATGGTATATTCCCTCATAAAATTGAAGGTGTATGTGAAAGATGTTTTTGAACACTAACTAGAAACACTCAAACAACTCTGTAGTATTTCAATGGCAGATCGGGCGATATGTCATATTTTTACACACCTCAAATACACACTAACAATTTTTTTTTAAATTATAAAACTATTACTATTACTTGCAAACACCTTTCACCTGATGGTATATTCCCTCATAAAATTGAAGGTGTATGTGAAAGATGTTTTTGAACACTAACTAGAAACACTCAAACAACGCCCTGTAGTGTTTCAATGGCAGATCGGCGATATGTCATATTTTTCACACACCTCAAATACACCCTAAAAAAATTTTTTTAGTTATAAAAATATCACTATTACTTGTAAACACCTTTTAACAAAAGGTATATTTCCTTCTAAAAAATTAAACCAATATGTGAAAGAAGTTTTAGCGATATAAGTTAGTCTTTCTTCGCTGTGTACTGAGAATTGAAGCCAGTGAGCTACAACATGCCCACTTGAAACTTTTACTACAAAGCTACTGTACTAATACTGACACTAATAACAAGTATTTGACTTAAAATGAAGTGACAGAATAGGTAACTTATCTTCTACATGTAGGTTTTCAGTTGTCACAACACTCAGCGTATGTAATCAGCTGTTGAAAATAAACCGGGCTCAATCTTAAAAACTACGCTGTCGCCATATTGGCTGCACTGGTCACGTGACGAGCCGAGGCATAGCTTAGGAGCTTTCCGAGGAGTGACCACTCCCCCTTATAGAGTCTCCCTGCTTAAATCGACCTCTTTGACAACAGTGCACAATTCTCACCCGCGAACGAAATTTCAACCAATCAGAGCGGGGCATCTCTGTGACGTCATATGAGGAATAGATATGAGGGCCAATGCAGAATTCATCTACATTTCAGGGGGTAAATTATCTTGTTTACAGGTTTGTATAAACCTGAAATCGTGACAACTGTTGTGGAAAATGAAAGCTATATGTTCTCACAATCTACTGTCATTTAATTTTGTCTCCTGCTTTGCCTAGTTTCGAGTTACAACTTGTTTTCATAGACGATTCTGTCAAAATCGCTTAGTGTCGCTAGGCCTTATTTGTATAATGACTGATCCAAATTGATCCTATTTCTGTGTTTTTTTACTTAGATATTTAATCATGTCATGTAAAAATCTGTTTGTATTCTCAAAACAGTGTCGGCCCATAAGTTTTCACATGCAATACAGCAATTAATACTCCCTTGTTGTAACCCGTGTTAGGTGATATAAACCTACACATGTTATTTGTCATCATTCACTTGATGGTCAGTTAATGAATTTATAACAGGTGTAATTAGTGGTAACACACTTAGATTACCCGACAAAGGTTCCCATTTGGCATTTCTTGTGTCTGGAGTAAATGTTCAACATTATAAACATCGATCAAAGGATTAACCGATAACTCGCTGATTGATTAATTACTTTTATCTTACACAGCGGATTTGTCAAAAGGTAGTGTTTATGTATGTAGATTTACTAATCTATACTGAATACACTCTGTCGTGTCAGTGTCTGAGTAAAAACAACATCCTTCTTTCAAAGGCGGACATTATGCAATTGGTTGCCAGGTGTGCTATCTTGGGTGACCAATGAGACTATACACCAATGTGAAATACCTGAAAAGATTTATCACTTTCTCGTATATTAAACTGTTAAAAGACACATCACTTGGAACAGCGGCAGATGAATGGCATATCACTCGTTTTTTTGGATATTGATGGATACATTCCTCGAACAAGGCAATAGCCTGACATTGTTCCTATAACTTTAATCTGTTTTAATTTTAATATTTGCATTTTGTTTTTATTCATTTGTCGTAGCATTCAACAGAATCATTGTTTTTGACGTGAAGTGTAATGAGACAGACAGCATACACTAGGGTGTGTCTGCGAATTATGATTCACATTGGCAAACTATAAAATGTCTAGATATTACAGTTCTGTTATAAATACACTATAAGTATCAGCAGATCGTCGGCTTTTTATTAAGTTTCAAAATGCATACAAGTATGATAATAAACTAATGAGGATTATAAGACCAAATATAAGTATCTACATACTGGTAAGTGGACATTAACCATGTGAATGTAGCAAGAAATGTATCGCGCAGTATTGTGACTTCGACCCCCACCTCGCTTAGGTGGAAGAAATCGTCATGTTATAAGTTGTGTCATGCAAAATCCTTTTCGTTATGATTCCAATACATATTTAACTACGAGTAGAAAGTAGTTTTGATTTTCGAACTTAATGAAAACAAACCATAATCTCATTAATTCTAACAGACTTTAGCCCGTCACTTTATGATTTTTTCAAAATGGCGGCGCCCTGTCGCGAACATCCGCCAGTCTGAGGATAAATGCTATTTAGGTTTGTTTTCACCGAGTTACAAAATCAAAACTACTTCCTACTGGTAGTAAAATATGTATTTGATTGATGGCCAATAGGATTTTGCATGACATAGCTTATAACATAACAATTTTTCTCGTGTCAGCGAGGTGGGTGTCAATATAATACTACTTACAATATTATTATTTGTTACTTCGACCACAACCTCGCTTCCGAGGAAGAAATCGTTATGTTACAAGTTGTGTCATGGAAAATCTTTATGGTCATCAATCATATACATATTTTACTACAACTAGTAAGTAGTTTTGATTCTTTAACTTCCGCGCCGGCGATCTGAACACAAGTAAGATATCGCTTCAGGCTTCCACAACGGTCGCCGCGACTCACAAACATAACCCATTTAGCACGAACTGCGGGGTCCTGTGGAAATCTGTGCATGGTGACACCATCGCCCAACCCCTAGGAGCAATTGACGACAAAGCAACGATTCGGCATGTCGTCGTTGATGTCGAGAAATCACCAAAATGATGAGCGTGCTACACACTTTCTATACAACTAACTGAAAATCGTTCCTCATATGACGTCAGTGCAGTGCTCTGGCGACAGAGTTACGTAACCTGTCTGTGGTTTCGTTGGCGGGCGAGAGTGAAGCAGGCGACATTTTGGCAACTTTTAATTGCTCGGTATTAATTAACCACAAGTTTTTTAAGAATGAGTTTGTTGTTCCGCATAAGTCTAACCACAAATCTTTCATATGCAATAGTTCAAAGAGTACAAAAAAACAAAGTTTATTTGTTCTTTAACAGGTAGCTTCTAACATATGATAGGACCTACCATACGTCTACAACTCGTTTTCTTAGCAACGAGAGAGCTAACTCTTGTCTTGCCTCTCACCTCACATCAAATGTCCAGGTGAAAGAAGATCAGCAATTGTGCTGAGATTATTCCTTCCCTGGATACTCGTCCTTATTTGGAAAACTAACCATTGTTGCAGTGTGCTGAGGTCCTTATTGCTACAATCCCTATTCTTGTATTACGCTTTTAAGGACTGATTTCCGCTTAGCATTTAGTTTCAACTTGAATCAACAAGCAACACTGTACTTGGTCAATAGCCAGTGACTCAAAACACGCAATGATGCATATCCCATATGATACGGATGACGGGACATATTTGTGAGCATATTCATGGAAACAGTATATTGCACATTTGTGTGATAACACCTGTTTTGTCTAAACACACACGCACACACACAATTCATCATATTTGTATCAATAAATTGTAGCATTTGTTCACTTAACACAAGCTCCGATGATCAATAAGTACAAGATATTTCTTCTTAATCTACTAAAGGCATATGCTGGACACCCCCCGAATACCGTGCCATAACACAACAAATACAGCAGAGCTTGTACCTCCAGCTTAACTGGATAATGCTGCAACATGTGTAATGATTGTAGTTGTCAGTAGCAGGTTTTAGACAATGATGAAGGATAAACAATGTGTGTGAATATTACAATACTTGTTTGTCGTGTACCTGGGTTGGGTTTGACAAAACTAGGCAAGAACCTGGGTTGGGTTGAATAAGGGCCATGGACATGGGATGGGTTAGACAATGAGGTGTAGGGTACCTGGGTTGGATTGGATAAGGCCTAAAAAAATGTTGTGGTTCCGATTACCCAGCTGACCCATGAATTCTGGTGCTGACCCTATATTTTTTAAGCTGACTGAATAAAATAAGTTTTCAGATGCCATTGTTTTTTGCTGGCACCGGCAGATATCGGTCATTCTGATAGAGAAAGACGACATGATGGCCGCAAGCTTGATTGAATAAACAATTACTCATCGATACATGTGTTATTATGTTTGTACTTTCCTTCTAAAAACGATATCTTTATAAAAGATTCTTACCTACCTACCCAAAAATTTTAAAGAGGTGTAATCGGAACCACAACATTTCTTTTATTTAGCCTAATATGGGCTGGGAATCTGGGTAGACTGATCCCAGCCCTGTTGCATACATGAGCATTTTACCAAAAACACAGAGAGAAATATTGCACTTGAAATGGTAACCAATATACCCTATACATCATGACCAATAGGTCAGATCCTTAATTCATGCATTTTGTGTCACATGTACAGCATGTACCTTGTATACATGTGTGAGCAGTTTTTGGGGCATTTCATCCTCTAAACATTTCTGTCAAACCAATTCATCAGTGTGTGTCACATGTACAGCATGTACCTTGTATACATGTGTGAGCAGTTTTGGGGGCATTTCATCCTCTCAACATTTCTGTCAAACCAATTCATCAGTGTGTGTCACCAGTGGGACTGTGTACTGGCATATAGATTGTATTGCAATATGTTGTGCTTTTTGTACCCGTATTCTGATACGTATTGAGATATATTAGGAGCTTCAGTGTTTGACGGTAAGTGATACTGATTGCAAGTGCAGAGCCTACTTTCTACTTACTAAAGCCCTAAAAATAAATGTTATGGCTGTGGTAACAGAAATTTCTAATATATATTTGATTTTGAATGATTGTTTTCTCTTTTTTATATAATTTATTTTAAGTAAAGTACGTTGTTTTGTCAATTAATTACAATGGAAAACTTCAGTTTGAATGAAAATCTGTGTGGATTTTAACTTAAACCATAGAGATAATCACCAAACTTTATATGTTGTTTCTACTGAATATACCAGTTCTGAGGGAAAAACATTGCAATATGGATTGTTTGAAAGGCGTATTGAGATAAACCGGAATACCGGTAAAACTGTGCAGGCCTAGTCCCTAGCCCTGCCGCCATTTTGAGGTTAGCTCATGCAGGCGATGCTGCCCTCTCATCTATGGCATACAGAATAATAGTAATGTACATTCTGACATGTGCTGTAAATTAGCTGATATATTTATCTTGCAAACACTTAGGCGAGTTAATTGGTTTATGGTGCCGAATCTGACACCTTAGTTTTGATTTTCCATAACCATTATCACTATTTCGATTCGATATTTGAATACCTATTTAAATATTTTCCACACAGCCAGAACGTAATTTTGACTCCAACTCGAGCAGTTTCAGGCGCTGAAATAAGGCAAAACGTAATTGATTGACACCGGCTAATGAAGAATTGTTGTTAGTAGACATCGCCAATCTGACGATGGATTTCACACTGAAAATGCTGCCTCTGAGAGTTAAATGAAATCCAATGTTTTTGCTTGTAAGAAGAATCAAATAAAAAATGATCAAATCGAGGGTCCAGTATCGAAAATCAAATTGATTCGAGGTCTGGGTGAATCGTTGCAGCCCCAGTGTGCCACAACAAGGAGATAGTAAGCTGTGTAAGTTGTAGATAGTAAGCTTGGAGACAATGTTATTTATAATCAGTTATCTGTAATATGAAAAAATCATGTGGTATAGCTCTTGTGACAGTGTGTAGTGTCCATTCTCTGGAGAAGTCCCCTAATGGTGTTATTGTTCATTATTGTTATTAAAGCAAAATACGATACCCATTCTCTAATTTTCATTTGATTACTATAACTTTTTATTATTATTTTATGTTTGTGGATAAATGGTCATTTCTGTAGTTTTCTTTCAGACTAAGATCGTGAAAATGTTACAATGCAGCAGTTATTGATTGGTAGCATGAGTGCACTCACTCACTCACAATCCACATTTAATGACAATCCCCTCCCTCATTCCCTGCCATCTCTTGCTGTAGGAACGTGTCGCTAGATGCTCTCCGAGTGTCGGCTCGAAAGAAGCTGTCTCAATACCTCAACATTGAGAGGTTGCTGAATGAAGATGGCATGGTACCAGATTATAATGGGCTGGCCGAGCAAATTGGCTTCTCCTTCCTGGAGATCCAGAACTTCGGCCGGCAGAAAGACCCAACAACGGAGGTGCTGAACGAGTGGACGAGGAGACCAGACTTGTCCCCCACTGTTGGTCAGCTCTTTTATTGCCTGAGGGTGATGGGCCGTGAAGATGTGATGACAGACTGCAAACGTAGCATCAGTGAGTTTCATTCAGGTTGTTCTGTTCCTGATATTGGCTGAAGTTTAAAACATCTTTTCTTGAATGAAGTATCTGATTTGGTGATGTATGTTTTAACATACAGTACCCATTCTCATCATAAAAAATCCACTCTCATCATAAAAAAACCCCGCTCATTGTTTCAGTTCTGGACATCGAGCACTATGTTTCACAGCAGGAACGTCGCCAGAACAATGTGGTACCTCTCCAAGATGACACCATTTCCCAGAGTTCCACTCCTGAATCTTCTGATTTCACAGATCATGACACAGATGAATACAGATACATGACTGTTCAGGATGGTAAGCAAGCGCTCCTTACTGCAGAAATTATATCAATGTGGCAGTAATGTTACAGACATTCAGTACTATGATCCTCTTAATACATTGTTCCACTCAAACCGTTGCTCCACTAAATACATCTTTTGGCTTGATTCATTGATCTGTTACATACATTGTTAAATTAAACACGTTGTTCCATTAAATACATTTTTCATCTGAATACAATGTTCCACTAAATACATCGTTCCACTAAACACATTATTTTAAAACTTATCCTATCTCACGGTATGCACTTCTCTCTCTTGATTCGACACTGAGTGGAACGATGTAAAGTTTTTTCCCTTGGCCTCTCTTGTCCATCTACCCAAGCACTCCATGCTACCCTCATTATAAGACAGCTTCCTAGTTGTCATGCAAAGCATGCGGCATGCACCACTAGCTACCCACGTGACTATCTCCGAATCATCATTCTCTTTCTTGTCGCACTTGTGAATGTGTTTTGCTTTGCTCTACGTTTTCAGACTCTTACTTATCGGACGACCTTCGGAATTTGTTGGGCTCTCAACATTCCAGCCTGAGTCCTTCGTCTTCGGCCTCGTCCCGGGCAGTGGTTGTTGGGAGTGCTACCACCCCTCAGGATGCTTCTACACAGTGGGACCTTCGAACTACGCTCTCTGTCTCTCGTTCGCCGGACCAGTTATCTCGGCAACCTGGCTTATCTGCTTCGGACAAGAATCAACTGATCTCTACGCCTGACTGCGCAGAAGCCGTTCTTGCTCTCGTCGTTCGTCCAGTAGTGATAGGAACCAGTGTACCTCGCCTCAACGCATGTCAGTGGTTACATCACTGTCTCCTTCCCATTCGGCGAATAGGAATGCTGTTTCTTGCATCCAGCTATCTCGGTCTTCTCATCCCTGAAGCCTGCCAGTTCGAATCACAGTTCACCGGATCATGCTTCGCCTGTCCGTTCCACTCCACCTTGACTTTTGCTGGACTGTCCACCTTCCCAAACTTAGACTGGCTCTCTACGAAACAGCTCTCACCGAACCGGTCTTCATCGAAACGGCAGTCTACTCGTCAGCATTCTCCAGATCGATCGTCTGCTAAACAGATTTCACCTAATCGAACTTCGTCGAAACAATGTTCACCGAAATGGAAAATTTCAGCAAAACAGCATCCCACGAATCAGCTTTCTGACGAGCACTTTTCGCCAGGTCGTAAATCTCTTGGTGATTCGCCAAACTCAGTTGGCTCTCCTAGTTTTCTTCTTCGACGAGGAAACATGGTTCACCGAACCGTTTGGATCAACCGCCTACCAGTATTCGGACTTTCTCACCCAAACGACCTGCTCGAAATCTCGTTTTTCCCACATCTATAAGATCCGTTTTACGGCGAATCCCCAGTGTTGTCTCGTACAACTTCCAACACGGAAGATTCCCAGCCTACTGGTTCATCAGATATTACCCTACTTGTCAGAGATCATGAGATGTCTCCCAGGCACTTACAACGCATTCACCTGGTCAAACTTTACAACGCCATCGACCTGCTTCGCCAGATCGTCCTGTTTTCCCGTCATGTTTCGACCAACTTATCCATGTATCATCACCGAACCATTCCGGCAGGCTGGTTCGCCGCAACATCGCCGAACTTTTTTTCAGCAAGGAATGGCTCATCTCGTTCGTCCGAACCACAACATCCCCGTACGGCAGACCGATCTGAACCTCATCATCGAACTAGTTCGTCAGGCCGAACCGATTCGCCGCACCAGAACCAGATCACAGTACCATTCCAGATCTTACCTCGCCCATCCAGATCATCGAACCGACCCCGGTTACTGAACCGTACCAGATCGCTGATCCAACAGCATTCGCCGATCTGACAGTGTTCGCCAACCATCAGGATTCGGCGATTATTTTCTGTCGCATGATGTCACTTCCCACACGACGATTCTTCAGAACGCACCTTGAGGTTCGGCAAATCTGTACCTACGCTGACGTTCTGACAACAGCCGCTTTTAAGATACAGCAATAATTTTGGTTCATTCAACACACATGATCAATTGGTTCACTGACCATCTACAACTATCCGGTTCACTGACCATCTATAACTATCTTGAGCGTGAGATACCAGATGATCTACTTACTACATTCAACCGATAAAAAATGATTGAATCGAGGGTCCAGTATCGAAAATCGAATTGTTTTGAGGTCTGGGTGAATCGTTCAGGATCGGAACTTGTCAACATTGGTTTATTACATCTTCATCGAGGATCATCAACTTGCATCTAGATACGACCAATTACCCCAGCTATTAATCAAACGCTACCAGCTTTCAACACGATGTTACTATTCAGGGTATTTGTTATACGCTGAATTTCTCACCACGACGTGACATGCTTTTAGCATGACAATCTGACTTGGTTCTCTGGATTACCCTACGGCATGTGAGGTGCTAGAAGTTTTTAGTCACATGACTTATCCCACCTGGTACCCTTTTTCAACTGGTTGAACGAAGGCAGTAGCTGTCAGTAGCACACACATCTACATTAGGCTGGCACTTGATGTTCTGACGATCCCGGATCTCCAAGACTTCTACGTGATTAGAGCTCATATCGTTCCAGATTTATTCTACCATCCGATCTTCACCTTGTTGAATGATTTGGTTTAGGAATCTAAATGAAGATATGAGCACTCCGACCACTTGTTTGTGCATTACCAGACAAGCTTGACGCTTCACTGAGTCCTGTTACTACAGACAACTCGTAACAGCGTCATGGTGTATCTCAGGATGCAATCATGGCCTGGTTCGTCATCTTCCTCACCCTTCCTTTTACATCACCAGCAAGCGTCTGGACAGATGGGTCAAGTTTCTGCGCTTAGTACCAGCAGCGATGTCTTGTCAAGTAGCGAGCACCCCTTTACCGGTTTTTCTGGGCTGTGACCGAAGTCCGTGTTGTCCGGAATTTTGTCACTGTTGCATTGTGGGTAACAATTGCAAATGGCGGACTACTGTTTGTTTACCGGAGAATTGTGATGTTGAGAGTGACTATGCAGTGCACTGACAGAATTGTCTTGGTCCTACACAGCGGATAATAACCACAGCTTTTAATCTCCAGTGCCGATGAACGGTGCCATTCCCTGTAAGAGTGATTATGTTGGGATTCGTCAGCCAGCTGAGAGAGAGAGCTTACCGAGGGTGTTAGACAGAAACATCCCAGAACACTTCAACTTGGGTTACTCGGGCTTTCAACTTTAGCCAAAAATCTCCGTTCAGAGGTCACTGCAGTCCCCAGGCACTTGTTTACTGCCTTCGTCTTCCCAACGAACGTTCCTGGGGTCGCCGGTCTTCTTTTACCTTCGTCATTCAAACAACTGTGCGAACGTTCCGGTAGATTCACAATCCCCATGCATCTAGTCTACTACATTTATCACTCCATCCAGCGGACCAACACTTCCTTTGGTAAACTAATGTTCCAAAGATCGCCAATCATACGACCTTCATCACCCGTTTACAATGTACACGTTCCTGTAGATTGACTGACAGTCTCCATGCGCCGAATCTAGTACATTCAGCACTCTATTAGGAGATATCCCTTCATCAGTGGCAAGAGTTGCTGGGTCTCCTCACCTAAGCTCAAGTCTTCACTTACAGAAGTCAACTTCATCTTCGAAGCTACATTGATGATTGCACATCCAGGCACAACGGGATCTGATATTACTTTGCCGCTAACTGTAGTTCACCACCATGCTGCTCTGGCAGTTAAAATGGCTAGTGTACATTGCTGTATCCCTTCGCACCCTGTCTCTGCACATTTGCAGGGGTATTCTCGGCGGTATTCTCGGCGAGTGGCGATGGCCATCACTTCTGCTCATCGAACTTCCACCCGCTCACTTTATGATGAGAAGTGGAAATGTTTTGATAGATATTGCACATCCAGAGGCATTACATCTCCCGGTTCTACTTCGCCTCAAATCGGCGCTGGGTTTCTTCAGCATTTGCGGCCGTTTAAGAAGTTCAAGGGTTCCACTTTGGCCACTCACCTTGCTGCGATCAACTCGGGCCTGGCTACCACCACAGGCCCTAAGGTCTCGACGGTTCCTGAGCTTCAGTATTAGGTTCGGTCCTTCAAGTTGGCCGATCAGTCTAAGTAGTTTAGACCTCCTGCATGGGATTTATCTGTGGTGCTGCGTCATTTGGCCTCAGCAGACTATGAACCCCTAGGTCAGAAGGACCTTGAGAAGATCTCCTTCAAGACCTTCTTCCTTGTGGCCTTGGTTACAGCTGCTCGGATTTCTGAACTCCACACTTTGGACGTTAACAGAGTCCAGTTCGAACGGAAGAAGCATGGCAAAGTCTTCCTCGGTCTCCGTTGTTTTTTTTGTCGCGAAGAATCAGTTGCCGGGACAAACCGATCGTACTTTTACCATCCCACCGCTGTCCACGATCCTTGGGCCGCATGACAATGAAAACCTGCAGCTTTGCCCTGTTAGGGCTTTGAAGATTTTTCTTGCTGCTTCTCTTCATTCCGTTGTCCTCAACATCCAGGGCGGAAGTGTCTCGCACCACATTATCCTTCTGGATGAGAGCCACCATCCTACGGGCTTACACCTTCGCTGGGTTACCGCCCCCGGCAGCTTCCAGTCCACATGAGACACGGGCGTAAGCGTCTACAATGGCTCTGCATAGTAACTGCTCTCTCCACGCCATTATGGAAGGATGCTTCTGGCGATCTGTCTCAGTCTTCTCCTCCCACTACCTTCGGGACCTCTCAGTCAAGGACGTCCATGGCCTGTACCAGTTTGGACCCCTTGTTCTCGCACAACAGCTGTCTACAACCCACCAAAGCAGATAGGGAACGGTCCCACGCGGTTGCTGCTTCCCTGTACTTTCCTGAATATAAGTCTGAACTTGATGTCTGCCTTATGTTTTGATTGCCTATGGGTTAGAACTACTTCACTTAGTTTTATACTAAGACACGGAGATACTACCGCCTCGGTGGTTCGACGAATCTGGAGTTCAATTCTGTATCACGATGTGGAAGGGTTCAACATTTCACGTTTCATGACCTCTAATTTTCGAAGCAATTACGTCAGTGAAGTGTGTCACTCTCGAATTCCAGTGGATTTCGTTGCGTTCCGACTCCGAAGTTGCCAGGCTCATCCTTTGACTAAGCTTATGTAAAGGAGTGAGGGTCAATTTGATGTTGACTGGAACTGAACATGAAAACTGCGAGTTTTCAAAGTTGTGCTTCTCTTTCACCAGCCCCTGGTCGGTGTATGTGGGGTCTTCTCGAGGCAGGGGCTGGCCTGATTATTGTCTATGACTTGAATTTACGGGGTACCTTGAAAATCGTGGTGAAGTGACATCCTTTCTTGCTGAGCTGCGTCCTTCTCCGGAGGTTGCGGCCGAACACCATATCGCTCAGGAGCACCCATCTCCCTGGGAGACGTTGTGCTTAGTAAGCCAAGGAGTTCAGAGGAACTCGTCACAGGCCTCCCTTGTGCATCGCTATTTACGGTTGTCTCCAGTCTACACAGTTCTACTGTTCGCACTGACAAGACACAGGGTATCTGCATCCCGCCTTCCGACCGTGGGATAAGTGCATACCGTGAGATAGGATAAGTTTAAAAATTTAAAAATTTAAAATATAAATTGTATATTTATATACTTATCCTATCTCACGCGACGGACTACCGCCCATCCTCCCCGCTACGCAGATTCTCCAAGATTGATATTCCAGTGGCTCCAAGAATGAGAATGATGATTCGGAGATAGTCACGTGGGTAGCTAGTGGTGCATGCCGCATGCTTTGCATGACAACTAGGAAGCTGTCTTATAATGAGGGTAGCATGGAGTGCTTGGGCGGATGGACAAGAGAGGCCAAGAGAAAAAAGTTTACATCGTTCCACTCAGTGTGGAATCAAGAGAGAGAAGTGCATACCGTGAGATAGGATAAGTATATAAATATACAATTTATATTTAAAATTTTCAAGTTCCATTCAATACTTTTTTTCAGCTTAATACATTGTTCAACTAAATATATTCTATTCAATACATTGTTAGACTGAATACATACTTCCACAAAACATATTATTCCCCTCAATACATTGTTCCATTCAATTCATTTTTCAACTAAATACATTGTTCCATTCAATACATTATTCCACTATATACATTGTTCTACTCTATACAATGTTCCACTAAATACCTGGCTCTGCTCAAGTCCATATTCCAATCAGTTTGTTTTTTTCAGTACAATACAATGTTTATATTAGTCTGATTCACATGTACATGTCAGAAAAAACTAAAAAGGGAATGAGAATTATCACCCTGTTTTTCAGTTGAGAGCAACACACCAACGTTTTACGATGCGTTCGTGTGTTATGACCCAGAGGGTTATGACCTACAGTTTGTTAAGAAGATGCTGTCGGAGTTGGAGTCTGCGCGGTATGGTCTGAAGCTGTTTGTACCTTGGAGAGATGATCTGCCTGGGTCTTCCGCGCACACCGTGTCAGCCAAGCTGATTCAGGACAGGTGAGCACCATTGACAAAATATTAGCCCCTTTATGATAGAAGAGATCAATGCTTGTCTCCGTAATTGGGTATAGATCTCAGGTTCCCAGTACATGCTTGCTGTAAAAGAACTGAAATAATGGTGGATAGAGTGGCAGTTGATGGTGGTCAATTGGTTACAGCTAGGGTGTGGTCTGTCTCACTGTGTCATACCCTGGTTAAATCTTTCATAGTTTCTATTGTCTACCACAGGTTCACTTTGCTAATATTTAACTGTTTACTGGCCATCATAATAAAGCTGTGTTGTGTCATGAAATGTCTTGACCTGTGATGGCATTCAAACCACTGATCTTATCTGAGGACCAATGGCTTGTTCAAATGACCAAAGAGGTAAAGCCTGTGATGTGTTGAGAGTGTTATCTGTGTTCCATGTGAAGCATGTCTCCCCCATTGCAGTATTGGACAGGTCTTTAGAACTCAATGTTTCTCCTGGGTTAGAATAATTACTTGGTCCCAAGCTTTTTATGCTTGTCTCTCCTTGAGATTCTGGAGAAGATAGTGGGTCTCAAGGAGTTCAAACTCATGTTCCTTAGGATTGCTCAGAAGATTTAGGTACCCAGCTCTGCATGCTTGTTTTATCTTTGGACAAAAGTAGATATAATGTCCACATCTTATCACATGCAGAGAAAATCTTTTAGATTCCAGCTCTCAATACATGGGATTCTGTCTTGGGATTCTTGGTCTCTGGTACTCCGGGTTTTAAGAGGACTTAAATATGGTTCTGGTAGTTACATTGTGGGATCTGTCTGGCAAACACCATCAGAAGTTATCATTGTTGCTTTTGTCTGGGTTTATCGTGCTGATGATGTGGCTGGCCGTCATGATGTGGCTATGAAGTATTATAGAGAACACAAGGCTTGCTGTAAGAGATGACTAAATTGTTTGTTGCTTAATGGTACACTCTGCAACATTTCAGCTGTATGACTGCCTGTAATTTAAATCCAGCCCGGACCAGACAATCCAGTAATTATCATCATGAGCATCAATCTATGCTGTAAGGGTATGGCGATAACAATGTGACAGCTGGCTTGTAATTATATCTATCATTGCAACTTTTTCCCACTCATGGTATTATGAGTGAATATGAACAATTTTAAAGCCAACAGTTTTGGGATGAAATTACTGTATCTTCTTCCATGTTGCAGATGTCGGAGAATGGTGATCATTATGTCTCCCCGCTTCTTGAAGAGTCCAGCCTGCGACTTTCAGACGAAGTTTGCCCACAGTCTCGCCAGGTGAGGATCTAACTGTTTCATGATAGTATCAAGTCAAATGTGTCATTCTTGAATACTTTCACAATCACAAAGACTTACTTAACATGTGACTGAGTGTGTAAGGTTTCAATCCTCTCCATCAATGATAGGATAGGTTATTTATCACTTTTGTGAGTACTGAGAAACTTTAGTGAAGGGGATAACTCCTTGACAAAAGGGAGATATGGGGAGAGATGTTTCATCACAGACAGTGTGTTGAACCTGCTATGGTCCAATGAGAGGGCTTTACATGTTGAACCTGCTATGGTCCCATGAGAGGGCTTTACATGTTGAACTGGTGCAGAAAACCAGCAAGTCGCAAAATATGTTACCATGTCAAAAATCCATGTGCATCTTTACATGTATTTTCTTTATCTTGTAGGTTCCCGCAGCAAGAAGTTGGTGCCTGTCCTCATCACACCATGTTTTATACCCCAGATCCTCCGCCACGTAACACTCTGTGATTTCACAAAACGAGACCTGATGGAGTGGTTCTGGCATCGGCTTGCCCGAGCAATTAAAGCTCCCCTCAACTTTGAGGAGCTGCAGATCAACGACAAGATTTCATTGGAAGACATCACTCTTAGTCTAAATCAAGAACAATATCGCAACAGTGGCAGCAGTAGCAGCAGCAGCAGCTCTAGCCAACCACTACCCATCATCCATTCTTCTCCTTCTTCCTCCAGACCAGCTGCTGCTGCTGCAGCAGCCAACTCCCCCCGGATCAAGTAGTCCAATGGAAGTAGGATCCCCAGTGCAGAGTGCCCCGCAAGGCTCCTCGATGTCCTCATCAACACAGGCTTCAAGTCCTGTTCCTCCACGTCGTAGACATCGACAGACTGACAGAAGCATCCCTCAGTTATTCCCATCCAGTCAGTGTTGACGCTATTGGCAGTTACCACCCGAAGCATCTCATGACTTTTCCAACACAGTCAGTGTAGACCTTTTTGACTGTAATGGTTTAGAGACTTGAATCTGCAGAGCATATTTTGTTTGCAAAGTAACTGCTGCAATCAGTTTAATGTATGTTACAGACAACTCTACATTCCAGATGTGTTTCTTGCAGAAGTTGCAAGGAAGTGAGATCTTGGTTTCCTTTCTCTCTTTCTTGCAGGCTTTGCATGAGAAGGAAGTGAGATCTTGTTTTCTGTTACCTGTTTCTTGCAGGCTTTGCATGAGAAGGAAGTGAGATCTTGTTTTCTTTCCCTGTTTCTTGCAGGCTTTGCATGAGAAGGAAGTGAGATCTTGTTTTCTGTTACCTGTTTCTTGCAGGCTTTGCATGAGAAGGAAGCGAGATCTTGCCTTCTGTCAGACGAGTCTAACAAGTATGAAATGCTATGTTCTGGACCAAATACCTTAATACCTGAAGCAGGGACTACGTGCTCAAAGAGCATACACATAGGATTTGACTTTCACAACATCTCCAAAAGGTCTAAGATGGGGTTTAACAATCATTTAAAGGATGAGGGCTAGTTGGGATCTAAAAGCTCTCTTTGTCTAACTAAATGTCAAAAGTTGTTGACAACCAGAAGGCAGGAGTGTAAACTCATTATCTGAAGGAAAACTTATAATTGATCAGTGTATCAGAGTACAAGATATATTGACATGTCATATCTTATGATAGGACAGTAGTAAATGTATGGTTATACCACACAACTAGTGGTAGGACAACGATACCCTTATTTAAGTGTTTGGTTTATACCACACAAGCAGTGGTAGCACAATATTACATATATTTAAGGGTTTGGTTCTTACCACACAACCAGTGGTTGGACAACAGTACATATATTTAAGAGTTTGATTTATACCACACAACCAGTGGTAGGACAACAGTACATATATTTAAGAATTTGGTTTTTACCACACAGTATATATTTAAGGGTTTTGTTTATACCACACAACCAGTGGTAGGACAACAGTACATATATTTAAGAGTTTGGTTATACCACTCGATCAGTGGTAGGACAACGTTACATGTATGTAAGTGTAAGTGGTTTATACCACATGTCTGAGAAATAATGTCATATAGGGCACAGTTAATACATTCTCATATAGGTGTCTTAACTCTCCAACTGATATCTCAGGGCATGCAATAGTGACAGAGTTCTCTAGGACATGTTCTGTCACTGAGCAAGCTGTCTCCAACTTATTACAGATGCAACTAGTAATGCAGTGGGCAGTGTTTAATGACTCAGGATCAGACGTTTTGTTAGTTAAGCTTTCTGAAAGCTTGATAAAACTGGTTGGTTTGGATTGTGTAGAGTGAGCTTTCCATTGAAACTGATATCACCTCAGGTCCTGTCTGTAATGTGTTTATCTGTCTTGAGCATGTCCTGTAAGGCTCTGTTCTGTCTATGGTGTTCGGCTCTCTGCTACATATAATCTCATGTAAGGCAGTTTTCTGTCATTCATGATCTGTAAGGCTCTCTTCCATAATGCTTTCTTCTACATGTAGTGTCCCGTAAGGCTCTCTTCTGCCTATAGGGGCTGTGGGGTAGCCTTGTGACTAATGCGTTGGCACGACACGCGGAAGACACGGGTTCGATTCCCCACATGGGTACAATGTGTGAAGCCCATTACTGGTGTCGCCCGCTGTGATATTGCTGGAATATTGCTATAAGCGGCGTAAAACCATACTCACTCACCCTTCTGCCTATAAGGTTTCCACTAGGATCTCTTCTACCAGGTGCGTCCCGTGGGGCTCTATTCTATCTAGAGATTGTCCCGTTGGCCACTCTTTCTTGTCATTGTAATATTCAAGATTCAGAAATAGTGACATCTCAAACACAGCATGTAATTGGTAAGTCATATTCTGAATTAATTGTTCTGTTGAAATTCTCCATGGAGGTGAAACTTTCTGTGATCAGTTACCTTCGTGATGTATCCTTCCACTGAGATGGTTCGTTCACAGATTCAGACAATGTATATTTTTTATCATGATCTTTTAGGACCAATAAATATATTTAGATATTACAAATGTTATGTATTACATGTAAATATGCCTTTGATGTTGCCAATATCAGGCAGTTCTTCCAACATCTTCATGGGCAACCAGCCTACAGAGCTGACAGTCAACCTGTCATTATTCAGAGACAGCCATCGAGCGGTTCTTGGGTATGTAACGGTATTCGGGGACTCTCAACCAGTGTAGCTGTCGGTTGTCCTAGGGATTGCGTCTGTCATTTCCGTATGAAAAACGCTGATCAGTAAAATTTATAATGCATTCATAATACTATCAAGTGCTCGAATGATGTACCCTTGATCATACAATTTGTAAGCAAGGTACGTTGAACGTTCTCATAGAAAGAGCATGCACGAAAGTGTACTCATTAAAGACTGGAGCTGCTGTAATAGCTGGAGACTACTCGAACGTTGAAAAAAGAGCCACCACACTGTTTTTCATTTAAGGCTGCACCTGGTATATGGCGGCAGTCTGTAAATAATCAAGTCTGGACCAGACAATCCAGTGATCAACAGCATGAGCATCAATCTACTCAATTGGGATACGATGACATGTGTCAAACAAATCAGCGAGCCACCCGATCCCATTAGTCGCCTCTTATGACAAGCATGGGTTACTGAAGACCGAAACTAATCCGGATCTTCACGGGTCTCCATGGCCACCAGAAATCTCGAGAGTCGGTTGTTCGATTAAGACTGCATCATGGGCCTTTGTTCATGAATCCAGGTGTTAGCGAACAGGTGAGTATATCCTGGCTGGTTAAAAAAAACATGCAAAGTCAAGGCAACTGTACGCCTGATAAAACTTGGGAATTGCATAGGGTATCATGTTTGTCGCTGTGAATGTTGTGAATGTCCATTTTGTTAGCAAACGTGGCATAGTTTTAGATGGCATAGTTGACTGTGCCTTAAGGTGAACAAGTATGACACCAAAGACAAGAGCTATAGAATATTATTCGACGTATAGGGCACGCTTAAGTCTTTATCTTGTTATTCAGTCTTCTGAGGGTTTTTTAACAGATCTACTCGAAATATTACAGACGAGGTGGCCTAACTGATATCTTTTATTTCTACTTCAGGTGGAGTAGTCTAGTGATTAAAGCGTTCGCTCGTCACGCCGAAGACCCGGGTTCCATTCCACACATGGGTACAATGTGTGAAGCCCATTTCTGGTGTCCATCGCCGTGATATTGCTGGAATATTGCTCAAATCGGCGTAAAACTAAACTCACTCACTCACTCACTCGACTTCAGGTGGATCAATTATGAGAGAGGAAATGGCGTTTTGACCATTATTGAACGATATCAGATCGTCGATGACCTGACGTCACACATGCCGCCTAAAATGCCTTGTTTGGAATGCGAGCAGAAAGACCCACATCAGCTGGAAGTGGAGGGCTTCCTGATGTCCATGGGGATGTCTACTTCTTACTCCTCAAAGTAAAGATACATACTAAGCAGCAAAAGAAATGTCGGTTTGGAATTTTCCTTCGCAGAAACGGATAACTGTAAACTCATTTAATGTTTTGATTGTATATTTTTGACAACATCTCCAACTTTACCCGAGCAAAGACATTCCTTCCCAAATCAGAATGGAACACAGGAAATGGTCTCAAAAACGCAACCTGATCTCGGAGATGGTACGGTGTTCTCCATGTTTTTCATGCAACTCATGCTACACGTGTTGTTCACAAGGACCAGCCCTATAAAAATGCACGCCCCAAACCTGGTTGAAACATTCACATTACAACGTAAGCAGGATGCTGCGACTCACGACAGCTCAGAGGAACCAGGCGCTAGGAAGACTTTAAGCTGGCCACACTGCACAAGCCGTTGCCAAACACTTCCAGGTCAACGTTCGGACCATCTACAGGCTGCAGCAACGTTCCTGGTCCACCAACACCACAAATGATCGCCCCCGTACTGGCAAACCAAGGGTGACCACAAGACGACAAGACCGCCATGTTGTGCGACAGCACACCAGACAGTGGGAACACACGGAAGACCAATCAGTACTGATACAGTACGCCGACGTCTTAACAGCGGGAACCTCCATTGCCGTAGACCTTACCGTGGACCTATCCTCACGCCTCGTCATTGGAGTGAACGTCTATAGTTTGCCCTACAACACCAAACTGGCGATACGGGCAATGGAGAACTGTTCTGTTTACAGATGAGAGTCGGTACTGCGTATCAACTGCAGATGGCAGAACAAGAATATGGCGACGACGTGGCCAGCGTTACTCAGACCAATTTGTTATGGAAAGAGACTGATGGGGAGGTGCAAGCATCATGGTATGAGGTGGAATAGGCATGAACCAGGGAGTGGGTCCTGTGGTGTTCCAGAACCTTGGTCCAGGGAGAGGAGGCTGCATCACAGCGGTGTGCTACATCGACCAAGCTGTCAGACCCCACGTCATACCACATTTCGCACGTCACCGGAACAACATTTTCCAGCATGATAACGCCCGGGCCCATACTGCCAGAGCTACACGGGACTTCCTACAGCAGAACGGTGTCAACATTATGCAGTGGCATGCCCTTAATCCTGATTTAAACCCAATTGAACATCTTTGGGATGAAATTCAGAGGAGACCGAATAATGTCATACCAAGGCCGAACACAGCCGATTTATTGCGCCAGGCCTTTCTCAGAGTGTGGTTCCAGGTGCCAATGGCCTTCATCAATCGATTGGTGCACTCCATGCATAGACGCTGTGCTGCAATTATTGCCGCTCGTGGTGGGCACACTAGATACTGAAGTCAAGAGTCTGAATGGACTGCAAACGTTCACGTAATGTCTTATAATTGTGCTGAGTTATTCATTGATGTGTCAGGATATTGTAAAAAAAATTGTTTTTGATCCACTTATTATGTCCATTTCTGTAATGATTTGATTACAGTGCCTATCTGATTTTGAATTCGGACTGACGTATTGTTTTGCTGCTGAGTATATATTATCCACGAGGAGGTCCAGTATTCCAGTCATTGTTTTGCTTGTCAACCCTCGGCGGATATTTGCATTCATTTTTGGCAAATTGTCAACCAATGGAGGCGTCAGTTCCGCTGTGTTGTTCAACATTTAGGAATAGTCAACCAGGAGGTACTGAACAAGACCCACATACTATTTCTTACGACTATGTGAAGTGGCACAGGATCTGCTGAAGGGCACAGGATCTGCTGAAGTGGCACAGGATCTGCTGAAGAGGCACAGGATCTGCTGAAGAGACCCAGAATCTGCTGAAGAGGCACAGGATCTGCTGAAGAGGCACAGGATTTGCTGGTGGTTGATTGAAACCCAGACTATGTTTCCCAGCCTGTCAGAAAGTGTCATATATCTGAAGTACTGTTCAAAGCAGATATAAATCAAAGTGAATCAGTGATATCTTTGTTCTAGCACACACACACGCGTCTCTTTATAAGCTTCAAGTTACATACACTGACTATATACAGAATGTGTGGTAATGTAACATCACGCACGCACCATAATATTTAACATCCCATCATTACTCACGCATCAGAAGTACTAGATGTCATATATCAATATCTAATTGTCTTAAATAAATATCTAGTTGTTATATACCGAGAGAAACAAATAAATGGATGACAGGAAAATTCAAGCGTTCCTTTAATATTTTCCAGTTTTCATCACCATCTTTGAATAGCGCTGTGGTGATGAAAACTGGAAAATAATAAAGGAACGCTTGAATTTCCTGTGATCCTTTATTTGTTTCTCTCAGTATATATCAATATTTAGTTGTCATAATTATATCAAAAATGAGTTATCATATATAAATATCACGCACCATGAACAGCCCTATATTACGTCACTCACGAACCATGAATTGTCATATTTTTACATCACTCGTCCACAATGAACATATATCAACATAACTCACGCATGCTCCATGAATAGTTCAAAATTACGTCACTGACCAATCATGAAGAGTCAAATATTAACATCACACACGACAGCACCACAACTAGTCCCATTTTACAGCCCCTCTTGCACCACAAGTAGTCCCTTTTTGCTCATACCTCCCGCACAATTGCTTGTCAAATAATTAACAAAATACTGCAGGTCCCAGTATTCGTATTATATTATTCATAGTTTGCAATATATGTTTAATTGTCTCTATTGTAAATTGTGTTTAAAGCTAGGTACTACACAATACGTACAATATCTGGTTTAAATCTGATAAAACAATGTTGACAAAGGAATATATAGGAAAGTCTATTAGACTATTGGTCCACCGGAAATGCCAGTTGAAATACTTTTGGGAAATTATGAAATGTTGACAAAATCAAATGATCAACAAGTTGCAATTTCCTTCTGAAACATTCAACATACTTCTCAAATTCATATGACAGGCACAAATATACAAAAGGTAATTTTCTGATAAGATAAATATTTCGATTATATTTCTCTGCTGTCTTTCTATACATGCCCTGTGAACATTAGAATATTTACAGGAATATTTCGTGAAAACCTCCAAAATAATCCTTTACTGCGTAATTCGCCATTTCAATAAAAACACCTGTAGTTATTGGTCCAAAACATGCACGTTTGAAATAGACAAGGCGATATGTACAGTTTTCGGATATTTCACGTGAAGACATCTGATAAAGTTCACGAATATTTCAAAATATCTTTCTCATGTATTATATGTTGCTGTTCTGATATGCCGGAAAGAGTCACCTGCCCTTCAATGAGATGACATGGTCCTTGACTTGCTATGAAACTGTAGCTAACTTGTATTATCCTTCTATATTCCCACCGTTGAGGACTGCATGGGATTTCAACTCAGAATGCTATAAATAGAACTCGCAATCACGACCTCGAACAGGAAGTAGGTCCAGGTGATGAATACAGTTGAATGCGATCCCATGTAAATAACGGGATCTCACTGAACTGTCGCCGGGGGCAAGTAAAGGGACATAACTCTTGTTAATTGCTACCCAAGGAGTTATGTCGTAAGATCATGCCATTACTTTCTGTAGGTGTTAAAATCACATTCATTTATAGAAACGTAACACTGACGCAACAATATTTTACAGTCTACGTAAAATTTGTCAGTGAACATGGAGACAACAAAGGCCTTATTAACGACAATCAGACTTGTTTAAAATTTCGTAGTTACTTCCTGGTATGAGCGACACAGAGTGTGGGAAAAGTATAAACAGTCCATGAAAGTATGTAGAATATAGAAGGCTTAATTCAGGTATTAGTGAACACCATCGCCAAGAGAGATTTGGAATTTTTCTTAGGAAGTGTATATGTCATTACATGTTGTTCCTTCTTTTAGGTGTAGAACTACCAGCCTACAGTCGACAGTTCAGCCGTGACCAATGTGACGGATTCAGCTGGTGACATGGCGTCTAACTCGGATGACGATGATGTGTCGATTCCTTCACGATATAGGTAAGCAGGACACCACAGACCCGATTTCTAACCTACAGATAGGGCTTTCAATCGATGTGAATGTTCCATTGAGGTTTCAGTGCTGCCTCCGTCCCAGCCCTCCACATCTCACACGCCAACCCGCTCCCTCATTCACTCACTCACACACACACTCTTTCACTCACTCACTCACTCACTCACTCTCACACACACACACACACACACACACACACACACACACACACACACACACACACACACACACACACACACACACACACCTTGCTTGATGCCCATGTTTTAGTTTGCCTAAGCAGACACATAGAGTGCACCTCCCTTCTCCCGAGGGCCTACAATGTGTATCCCTCACATGGAAACAGATTCTCATATATCCACCCAGGGACTGACTTAAAATACTCTCTGGTGGAACACTTCAGGCAAATTTGAAACTGAAGAAAGAGACTGAATAAGTTGTATGTCATAACAGATGACATGAAAACAGGTAGCTACAAGAGCTATAGTAACATAAATGTAAGTAGAACAGTTCGTGTACACGTGTCCCAAGTGAAAGGATCTTTTCTTAAGAAAGTATGAGTTTTTACAAATATTTTTATGGTAGATGCCAGCTGTGATCAGACCATTGAAAGACGACGCATATACTGGTGTGACGTGCATTGGTGATTTTTGCTCCTCGGTTCATTCAATGAAAACAGCTCTTCAATACATCATCTCTTTCTCAATGATGCCAACCCATAGTGAGGAGACCCTTGGCACCAGTGTCGGATATATGGAAGTAGTAGATGCCACCAGCTCTGTCACACCACACAATTATAATGTCCATGTCAGCTGAAACCCAAGCATGACTCACGGGGAGCTTCGTGAGATATTTTATCGATTTGTCGTACATCAGGTAGAGACGATATCAGTTGTTGTAAAAAGGTGAGCGTATCCTACTCACACGTACAAACACATGTACAAGGAAGTCAGTTGTGCACCTGAGGAAAGATACAATCTGGTGGACAGTCTTTTGTCGGGTTGGTATGGCTGGTCTTATTTAAGCTATAGGTGGGTAAACCTGTGGAAGGAAAATGGCTAACTGGCTAACACATCAGATCAGTGACACACCTACAACTTGGATTTCACATACTTCACAGCCATACTGTAAACCTTTGAATGTGTTGGCGAACGTGAAAATACTAGCATTTCTTTACCAGTCGTAATCCTATAACATTGACTGTTTCACACCATGAAACACGTCTATATGCAAATACAATCAAATGGAATCCTCTGCAATCTCCTCGAAAAACAATTTGAAAACGACTTCTAATTTGTGTTATTTATCAACAACCCATACTTGTTGCCGTAGAGTAAACCTTTGCTGACTTTGCATCAAATAAGTGAAACAAATATCGTGAAGGAAACCAAGTTCTCCATGGATAGTCAACTTCTTTATTGCAATGAGTGCGACGTTTTGGCGTAGGTAGTGGAAGCGTTATCAAGCAAGTGTAATAGTACCTACGCCGAAACATCGCACTCATTGCAATAAAGAAGTTGTCTCTCCATAGAACTTGGTTTTCCTTCACCTCTACAACTTTTAAAATGCCTCTCAAAGAACAAATATCGTGAAGATCAGCATGTAAATGCTGAAATAATGATGTTATGATCCTACCAAGACAATGTTACTAATACGTCGTCAGAATAGTATGATAAAGAACTTGGTATCAATACATATTTTGTCGACATTGCCACGCCTCAAATTCTTAGAGGGTTCCAGTCCGACAGCAATATCGTCAATGTTATGCCTGCAATTAGTCCAGTCAATGGTGTCATTTCGGTTGAGAGTCTCGACTGGTTGAGGTGAATGACCTTATTTCAGACTCAGGTTTTGTAGAACACTATTATGGTCACTATGTAGTAGTGATTCATAAACACATGCTTATGATACTTTGTTGACATACTGTTTATGAGTATTGAATGTTTTGTAATTCTGTTGCTTTATTAACATAATATGGAAGTATTATGCATAAAAAGTTGTAAAAAATATCATTTTCTTCCGTTAAAGAGTCTCAGAGATGGATATTGAAATAGATATTTGTCATTTAAGAAAATCTTGTGGTTTACTCGAATGTTAAATAGGACCCTTCCATTGTTGTGCATTTCGATTATATGATCGAATAGAGCATAACTATCATATGGTAGCGTTTGAGAATTTCTACCGAACACAGAAGAATACAAATGTCCTCTTTGACATATCCTGTCCTGTCTCATTCAACCTGCCAGTACTCTAACTGCAGTTTCACCACTAGCAAGATAGTAGGCAGTTGTAAAGTAGAGCGTTTGTTCACATCACCGAGAAGCAAATCACCATTACATTGCAAGAAAACCAGTACTTCATACATTTTAATAATTAACATTTAACAGAATCACCTCCCTCCCACTTTCTTGCTGTAGGAACGTGTCGCTAGATGCACTCCGGGTCTCAGCTCGAAAGAAGCTCTCTCTGTACCTCAACATTGAGAGACTACTGAACGAAGATGGCATTGTAGCAGACTACAATGGACTGGCAGAACAAATCGGTTTCTCCTTCTTGGAGATGCAGAACTTCGCCCGACAGAGAGACCCAACAACGGAGGTGCTGAATGAGTGGACGAGGAGACCAGACTTGTCCCCCCACCGTCGGTCAGCTCTTTTATTACCTGAGGGTGATGGGCCGTGAAGATGTGATGACAGACTGCAAACGTAGCATCAGTGAGTTTCATTCAGGTTGTTCTGTCCCTGATATTGGCTGAAGCTGGCTGGAATATCGTACTTTACACAAGTATCTGAATCGCTGAGTGTTGACGCCGAGTTTCATTGTGTTGAGATCTGGGAATGACCATACTCTATAAATGCACTTTCTATAAATATCACCATGGGGTTTTGAAGTGTATGCTTCGTTACAGGTAATCCAGCAAAGAGTTTGGAGGTTCTTAGATGAAAGATACAAAATAACAAACTTCAAGGGCCCCATGGATTTCTGATCATCTCTTGTCCCAACAAAATAGGGCCAATGGGGACGGACGGATTACAAGCAACCATGTTGACAGTGGTCTGGCCGAACATATTTGTACAGTGTTTAAACCTTTCCTTATATTCATGATGTTATGTAATAGTTGTGCTGTATAATGTTTGTGAACGTCGATGCATATCTTAGCGACAATCGTTAAAAGTGAAATATTTGTTTATCGTGTTTACCGTAAGACTATCGCACTGAAACCGAAACATTGTGTTACATGTCGTATCACATGCCTCGAGGCATATGTTGATAATATGTCAGTTTAGACTAGCATTGTCAACTAGTAAACAGTGTCATATGTTGATAATATGTCAGTTTAGACTAGCATTGTCAACTAAGAAACAGTGTCATATGTTGATCATATGTCAGTTTAGACTAGCATTGTCAACTAGGAAACAGTGTTTTGTTTCCGCAACTATTCACAACACTGACATCATCAGAGAAATATCCTCAGCTGACATGCTTGATATATTTATTTACTGCAGAATTTACCAAGTTTGTGGATGTGGTCCAGTGATAATACAAACAGAAGTGTTGCCTCTTTCTATCGAGATAAAATTACAGTACTGTGTAATGACTTGATTCATCATTTACTTACTTCTAGCAAGCAAGCAGAGATGAGTGTTTTCTCGTCTGCACATGTCCAAACACGAAGAATCAAAAAGGAGTCGCTATATTGAGAATTGTTCCATACAGAATCCCCTCTGTTTCAGTTCTGGACATCGAACACTATGTCTCACAGGAAGAACGTCGCCAGAACGACGTCGTACCTCTCCAAGATGACACCATATCCCAGAGTTCCACCCCAGAATCTTCTGATTTCACAGATCATGACATTGATGAATACAGATACATGACTGTTCAGGATGGTAGGAAGCTCTTCTGTCTGCAATAAGTGTATCAGCATGGCGCTGATGTTATAGACAATCAGTATATTGTTCCACTAGCAATCATCACAATTACTCTTGTGTTTTCTACATTAGGCATGTGTAAAGTATTAAGTATTTGTAAATGAACACGGAAGTATTGCTATGATAAAGATTAGATTTTACACACTTCTATAAAAGGATCTTGTGATAGACACAAGCCACATTTTATACTTACTATGATGTGATATTTTATTATACTTACTATGATGACATCGATCTGAGACACCTGTAAACAAAGAAACATTTTTCAAGCAGTGAGAACTATCACCCGTTCATCACTTACTGTTTTTCAGTTGAGAGCGACACACTAACGTTTTACGATGCGTTCGTGTGTTATGACCCAGAGGGTTATGACCTGCAGTTTGTGAAGAAGATGCTGTCGGAGTTGGAGTCTGCGCGGTATGGTCTGAAGCTGTTTGTTCCTTGGAGAGATGACCTGCCTGGGTCTTCCACATATACCGTGTCAGCCAAGCTGATTCAGGACAGGTGAGCACCGTCGACAAAATAGTAGCCCCTTCTTTACTGAATAGATCCTCCGCCGAAAATGCTCTTCGTTTACAGTATATGTTGGGCATCCGCTCCTCCATGATTGTCATCAAAGAACTAAAACGAAAATGTGGAGGTTACAGTGTGTGGTGAGTGCGACTAACATGCCGGGTGTAATGGATATTGTCCTGTTGGCAGACCACCTTGCCGGGATTTGACTGTTTTACCGCCCATCGTAATATAGATTTGTAGTGGCAATAATATGGTTTTGGTCAGTACTGGCATTCGAACCACTATCCTTCTTAGCCAAGGTTGGATAGAAAATTTCAAAGGAGTTTAAGCAGCTGATACATCAAGGTCTGATGTCCACGTCCTTCTAAATTGGGGTCCAGTGACAACAATGTGGACGCTGGCTGATCTCATGTTCATTTGGTCCATGAAAGTATTGTCTGTGATTGTATCGTGACTCTTGAATATCATTGACACCCACTCTTTCGTGGTCTTATCAACGCGGGAACCCAAAAACCCCAGAATTTTAAAGCCAACAGGATTTAATTACTGTACATGTATCTTCTTCAATGTTGCAGATGTCGGAGAATGGTGATCATTATGTCTCCCCGCTATTTGAGGAGTCCAGCCTGCGACTTCCAGACGAAGTTTGCCCACAGTCTCTCGCCAGGTGAGGATCCATGTAATCCTTGGCTTTATTGAGGTCATTTCCGCGAGTGTGGATAAAGCAATATTTACATCATATCAAGGCGTATCAGCCTGATGTTCCTCGATGTCCCAAAATGATGCATATTTTTAGATGACACTAATAAAAATGGGTATTGCTTTGTCAATGAATTTAAAGGATAGACACGTTAACTGACACAATATCTGTGAACAGAAATAGTTAACAGTCGATGTAGAGATGTTTTGTGTCATTTTTTCCTTTGTTCCTATTTATCTCTACATGAGGATATTATAAGAAGCTGGCTTTACAGAGAATGGCATCTGTGGAAATACTTAAACAGACTGTTCTGCGGTTTTGTATCATGTTGGCTTAGGAAAGGAAGATAACTCCAGTGTAAGGGAGATAATGGGACAGGTCATGCTCGTTTCAGTACGATTGTGATGAACATGCTATGTATGATGAAATTTAAATAAATGCAGAGAAACCAAAATTAATTTGAAAATTGTTTCACAAGGACAGGGTATGTTAAGATGTCAAAATTACGCATGGATCCTTACATGTAATTTCTTTTTTGTCTTGTAGGCTCCCGCAGCAAGAAATTGGTGCCTGTTCTCATCACGCCGTGCATCATACCCCAGATCCTCCGCCACGTATCTCTCTGTGATTTCACAAAACTAGCCTTAATGGAGTGGTTCTGGCATCGGCTTGCCGTAGCAATTAAAGCTCCCCTCTCATTTGACGAGCTGCAAATCAACGACAAGATTTCATTGGAAGACATCACTCTTAGTCTGGATCAAGAACAATATCGCAACAGTGGGAGCAGTAGCAGCAGCTCTAGCCAACCACTACCCATCATCCATTCTTCTCCCTCTTCATCCTCCTCGTCCGCCAGACCTGCTGCTGCAGCCAACTCCCCTGGATCAAGTAGCTCAATGGAAGTAGGGCCACCAGTGCAGAGTGCCCCACAAGGTTCCTCAATGTCCTCATCCACACAGGCATCAAGCCCTGTTCCTCCACATCGTAGACATCGACAGACTAACAGAAGCATCCCTCAGTTATTCCGATCCAGCGAGTGTTGAACTTTGTGACAGAAAAGATTTCAAGACTTGAATCTGCAGAGTATATGTGTTTGCATAGGAACTGCTGCATTCAATTTATGCAGGCATTGTTTGAGAAGGAACTGAGATCTTGTTTTTGTCGCATGAGTCGCACAGGCCTCAGATGAGGGGAAAATGAAATCTCATTGATAGCTATGTTTTTGGAGCAAATATTCACAAATACATTATATTTCTATATATTGATTTTTCCTCAATGGAAGTATTATATTTATTAACAGTATGTATCATGTGTATTTCAGACATGTTTCATATACCTTGTTAGAAGCTGTAGGGTTAATCTGACCTTGTGTCAGCTACACACGGGAGAAAGACAATGACAATACTGTACTCTATTTTCTGAAACATGCACCCATTTGTTCATGCAAAAATGCTCACAAATTATAAACATACGATTTGACATTTGACAAGATCTCTAAAGGGCTATAAAGGTTTAAAGCAAGACAAGATTTAACAATCAATTAAAGGATGAAGGCTGGTTGGGAGGTAAAAGCTCTCTATATCTACCTATGTGTCTACAGGTATTTACAACCAGAAGACAGGAGTGTTGATAGAAGCGACTAAACCTTTCCCACATCTAGAAGAAATCTCTGCTGAAAGCAGAGACGACTGTACAACTGCGACAGTATCATGAGTATATCATTAGTTTCAGCGATGAGATGACAGAGCATGTGTTTATGAATCACTGTGAAATAGTGATGATAACAGGTGTTCACGAAAAGTCGAGCGTATCCTGCCCCACCGGTGACACCCGTCATGAACATATGCTAAGTCTAGTCATTTGTTCACCTAAAATATTTCGGGAACGTATGGTATAAGTCAAAATAGGGAATTGCATCGGACATCTTTTTAGTCACTGATGCATCAAATTTGGAAATTTCCTCCACATGTCTATCATAAAACTTCTTGAAAGCTTTACTGGGGCCTTGAATGTTGTAACCTTGATCAAACAGCTTCAAGGCAAGAGAGGCATGACGCTCTTTGAAATCTTGATAAAAAGAGCACGCTCGATTGTACCTCAAAAGTTGTGAAATATAAAGGCAAAAGTTGTGAAATGTAAAGGCTGGAGCTGTCGTAATATTGTTCGACATGAAAGGGAAGATGACTATTGGAAAGTTGGAATCATCCCTGTTGTCGTACAGCCCTGTTGTAGTACAGCCTTGTTGTCGTACAGCCCTGTTGTCGTACAGCCCTGTTGTCGTACAGCCTTGTGGAGAGGTTTTTGTCACTCTGAATCTTTATGATTAGATCTAAATATGAAACCGTTGAGGCGGTCTCGCTTGTGTTCTTAATTTCAAGTTCAGATGGGTAAATCAGTGGAAGACAATTGGGGATTTGATGGTTAAGTTAACCTTCTTGGCCAAATTACCTTGTTTTGATTTTGCCACTCCAAGCAGAAATACTGATTAATATGCACAAAGAAACAGATCCGCAAGGAGGGGGGCACAATTGGTACCTATGGGAATGCCTACTTCTTGGCGAAATGTTTTGCCCCCAAATTTCACAAAGATGTTGTCAATGAGAAAGTCCAGCATTTCACATACTATTTTCTCGGTAAACTTCAAATGACATTTGCTTTCATTTCTGAGAAATTGTCCTGAACCTCTGAAGATGGATATGTAGGTATACCTTTGTTCATCACGTTTGTTTACAAAAGCTATATTCCAGCAATATCACGGCGGGGAACACCAGAAATGGGCTTAACATATTGTGCCCATGTGGATCAAGAAATGAAGATTTCCGTTAAGTTAGTTATATGTGGTATACAATGTTGAAAAATCAAATGTTTTGACAGGGATTCTTAAAATATTAGCAAATGCTTTCAGTTTGGGAGAATCCACATGGTATTAATTCCGCTTGTCTCAAAACATTTCTGTGAATATCGTGAAAGTCCTCCCTTGATAGTATTAAAGATTATGGTTATTCTCTAAGACAGGGATTTGGCCAGACATTTGCTGGAACCAGCAATTAATCTCTCCTTGTACGGATTTTTATGTAGTTTTGGAATCCAGTACGAAAGAGGAATGGACATGTCTTCAGGTTTTAGAGTCAAGCCAAACCTTGATAGTAACGTTGAATGGTTACGTAGATAGGGACAGTGGGAATCTCGTTAATCCATTCATGCGCGTCACTAATTAGATGACGAGGCATTTCAGTTAACATACTGGCCAAAAATGTGGCATTATTTAATACGTCACGTATTCCAAGCTCCTTGATCAAACACATTATGCAATGAGTTTACATATAATGGTTATGTTATTTGAGGCCTTGTCAATGGAAACAATAAACTTTTCTTGCAAGGCAGCCAGACTTTGTATGAGAGCTGGCTGGGCCAGAATGGGTTTATTCCAATTCTGTTTCCTCTTTTTCAGCTTGTGTGTTCTACCAATGACAACATCAAGTACTGACTTAACCCACTGTGAAAGACATTCCACAGGTTCTTCTTCTCTTTTGGCCCATTTTTTGGCATATGCTTCCACAGCATCCATAATGATTTTAAAGTTGTAGTCCCAGTTGGTAGGAGGCTGTTCAAGATATTTAGGTCCATAGTTGACGAAGGTTGCTATCATCAACAATGGGGAAGTCACCTGTGATTATATGTCCTGCAGGCCGGTAGCAAACCTTTGAGTTTTGGCAGCCACATTAGGTAGAATTTACATCGTGATCTGTCAAGGCCACATCCTGCAACACGTTCCTATAATTGAAAAACCTGGATGAAATCGTGTTCGTATACGAGAAAAATATTGTTGGAATTCCTGAAATCTGAAATATTTTGGCACATGTAGGGAAACTGATTAAACTATTAAAAACTATTTAAAGCATCAGGTGTTTGTCTGATTCAGGTGAGTCTGTTTCTTGCTTAGCAAAACGCCTCGAAGCAATATCAAGAACTATACTCTCTAGTCGATATTGTGGGCTTTTGCTGTCTGTAGATCCACCCATCGGCAAATGTTGCTTGAGTCGTTTGATTTCTTTCAATAACAGAGCTAGCCTGGATTATTCAAGGACTCCCAACAAGTTAACCTGGGTTATTAAGGCAAACACAGTCAGTGTAGCTGTTATTTCACCTGGGTTATTTCGGGACACCCAACAAGTTAGCCTGGGTTATTAAGGGATACACAGTCAGTGTAGCTGTTATTTCACCTGGGTTATTTCGGGACACCCAACAATATGGTACACGTCATGTGGAGATTGCGTTGGACATTTTTGTCTTATTTCACTGTCAGTAAAATTTAAATGTATTCATAAACTCCTCAAGATCTTGAACGTTGTAACCTTGATAATACATTTTCTTAGCGAGACCACACTGTTGTCGATGGAAAATGGAAATCAATTGTACGATTCAGACTGCATTATGGGCATGTGTTCAATAATCAGTGATGATTCCAGGTGTTCACGAAAGGGTGAGTATCTCCTGGCGCAACGCTGATCACAAAACATGCAAAGTCAAGTCAGTTGTTCACCTGATAAAAGGAATTGCATGAGGTATCATGTTTGTCAGTGATGTGTCACGTTTTGAAATGTCCATTTTGTTTAACAAAGGTTGCATGGTTGTTTTTAGAGGTCATGCGTGACTGTAATTTAAAAGTTGTACAATTAAAACACAAAAAACACGAGCTGCTGGAATATTATTTGACGTATAAGGAACGCTGAAGTCATTCCTCTTATGATACAGTCTTGTGAAGGCTTTGTCTCTGAATGTTCATGAATAGATCTAATTGAAATATTACAGACGAGTTGACGATATTTCTACTTTAGGTTAATAAATTTGTGGAAAGGAATTCGTTGTTTGACCGTTTGACCATAACTAGTCTCATTGTACACTTCCCTCCTGCATTTTTACTAGCCCCATTTTACGTCTCCCTCGCGCACCACAGCTTCTCACATTCCACATCTCCCTCCCGCACCATAACTTCTCCCATTTTACAATGTTGACAAAGGAATATAGAGGAAAGACTATTAAACTATTGGTCCACTGGAAATGTCACATGTACAAAGTTCGGAAGTTATTGACGAAATCAAATGATTTACAAGCTGCTATTTATTTCTGAAACCTTCGACATACTTTTCAAATTCATATGACAGGCACAAATAGACAAACGGTATTTCTTCGTTTTTTCTTCCTGCTGATTTGCTATACATGCCCTGGAACATTAGATTTAGTATGCAATTGCCTAGTTTGATCAGGGCCCCCTTGCACAAAACAATCTCAGCTGTACAATTATCGTAAATCCTTACGATCCCGATCTTAGGCTTCGGCTACAATCGCCATCCACTTGCCATGCACAAGGTAACTGTAACATTGTTGTAAGTTACAATCGAAACTTACAATTGGATGCTTACGTAGCTAGGATTGTTGTAGCCTGTGACAAAATGTCGTTCAAGTTTGGGTCTGTTTCACACGAGTATTCAGCTTTACGTTAGAAAATTGCTTATTTATTTTGTTAATTAGTATGATTTAGTTAGATTCGTCTCATTTAACGTCAGAAAGATATTCATAGTTATTTGCGGTAGTGAATAACATAACAGTCAAGTCGATATCTAAAAGTACTATTCCCCCATCATTCAATGTTGGAAGAAACAACATACCTTTTCGGTAATCAAGGAAAGGTGTCTGCAAACGATTAGTAAAGGCCGTGACCATTTCAATACCTCTTTGATATCTAAAATATTGATTTACGCAATAGGGTTAAACAACACTGTGAAAAATTATTTAACAACTGCTCTCTCGAACTATTATTATAGGAAATATTGTTTCAATTTTAGTCTTCATAATTAAATGTTTACTAAATCTAGACTCCAGTATATCAATGTATATATTTGTATTTCAATATTTTCTTGAAATATGGGTAGGTATATATGTGGATGTAATATTACATTCTCAGTTCCTAAATCACGACAGTTTCAATGTAGAAAAATATATGTTGTCCCCAGTTATGGTTCCTTCAAATTTCTGTGTGTTTTTTTTCTTGAGATGCGATGAAGGGAGCTGTATGTTGTTTGCCGTGATCGGTTACACTTCTGGTTTGCACAGCATGCTATGCGCGCTTGCAGGCAACTGTAGACAGGAGTCGAGTTTAAGAAATTCGTACCTCCACCATCGAGGTCTTTAATCTTAGCTAGGATCGCGATCTTAAATCCAAGTCGTCTTACACTCGCGCTAAGATCGGTTTGTGCAAGTGAAGTAGGGCAATTGTGTGGTGATTATAAAATTTGATTGTAGGGGCCTAACATTTGTTTATATAAGTGGGTCCTGTACTGTATGATCAGACTTCCCTATTTATGTGTTTGTGACGGGTTCAACCGATGACAGAATACGCTCACGTTTTCGCGAACACCTGGTATTACTAAGTTACTTACAGACGTATGCTCGTGACAAGTCAAAATCGAAAAATCGAATGTTTTAAATATCGAATGGGTTATGTCAAATCCCTTTAGATGAAAGACTTGATGAATGTACACATATTTACAAGAATATTTCCTGAAAATCTCCAAAATAATCATGTACGACCCCTGCACACACACACGCACGCGCGCGCGCACACACACACACACACACACGCTCTCTCTCTCTCTCTCACACACACACACACACACTCTCTCACACACACACTCACACGCTCACTCTGGATCCGCCTATGAAGGCGATACAGTTTTCGGATATTTCATGTGAAGATAAAGTTCATGAATATTTCAAAATATCTTGCTCATGTATTATATGTTGCTGATCTGATATGCCGGAAAGAGTCACCTGCCCTTCAATGAAATGACATGGTCCTTGACTTGCTATGAAACTGTAGCTAACTTGTATTATCCTTCCATATTCCCACCGTTGATGACTGCATGGGATTTCAACTCAGAATGCTATAAATAGAACTCGCAATCATGACCTCGAACAGGAAGTAGGACCAGGTCATACAGGTGAATTCGATACTCTGTAATTGTGGGAAGTATCACCGGTCGCATGTAAAGGGACAAAACTAATGTTATTTGTGAAGAGTCGTGTTTTAAGATATACAATTACTTTCTGGTTCTATTCACATTACTTTATAGAAACATAACACTGACGCAACAGTATCTTACAGTCTACGTAAAAGTTGTCATGGAGACAACAAAGGCCTCAATGACGACAATCAGACTTTCGTAGTCTACTTCCTGGTCTGGGCAACACAGAGTGTGAGAGAAGAGTAAACAGTGGACGGAAATACGCAGATTAAAGAAGCCTTCAGGTATTGGCGAACACAACCGCCAGAGGATTATTTGATTTTCTTACAAACTTTCTTACAGGATTCAGAGGTTACCGTGATGTATAAATTCCTTCTTTCAGGTGTAGAACTACCAGCCTACAGTCGACAGTTCAGCCGTGACCAATGTGACAGATTCAGCTGGTGACATGGCGTCTAACTCGGATGACGATGATGTGTCGATTCCTTCACGTTATAGGTAAGCAGAACATCACAGACCCGATTTCTAACCTACAGATAGGGTTTTCAATCGATATGAATGTTCCATTGAGGTTTCAGTGCTGCCTCCGTCCCAGCCCTCGCCACACACACGAACCACACACTCTCACTCACGCACACGCCGACACTCGCTCACTCAGACGCTTGATGCCCACTCACACACACACACACACACACACACACACACACACACACACACACACACACACACACACACACACACACACACACACACACACACACACACACACACACACACACACACACACACACACCTTGCTTGATGCCCATGTTTTAGTTTGCCTGAGCACACACATAGAGTGCACAACCCTTCTCCCGAGGGCCTACAATGTGTATCCCTCACATGGAAACAGATTCTCATATATCCACCCAGGGACTGACTAAAATACGTTCTGGTGGATCACTTGAAGCGAATTTGTGTCAGAACGAAACTGAAGAACATTTTCATATGAGTACGGATAACTACATAAATATGTGTCCCAAGTGAAATGATCATTCAACACGAAATTCTCCCGGATGTGGTCTGATAGATTGTCTGATAGACCATATCCGAAACGTCACGACCACAGCATCCAGTGGGACAGAGGCAAAAGCCTAACAACCAATCTCAAAGACTTTCACAATCAGAAAACTCCAAGAAGCAATCTACATCAAAAGACCCCGACCTTGACCAAGTCCATTATATACCTACATACCATCAACTCATCAAAGACCCCCATCAGTCATAAAACCTTTGTTCATACTATATCTATCTATCTATTTTAAGTAATGTGTTGTTAACTGGCTTCCCATGCTACTGAAGTCCTAATTCTCTAATGTGTATTGGGGTGGTGGGGTAGCCTAGTGGTTAAAACGTTCGCTCGTCACGCGGAAGACCCGGGTTCGATTCCCCAAATGGGTACAATGTGTGAAACTCATATCTGGTGTCCTCCTCCGTGATATTGCTGGAATATTGCTAAAAGTGACGTAAAACCAAACTCACTCACTACTCTAATGTGTATTGCACAAACACTCCATCGCACTAAAACCTACACCGAAACGAATCATGAATCGATAATAGATAGTGACAGTATTATTTGTTGTGAAAGGGTGGGCGTATCCTACTCATGCGGGACACACGTACAAACACATGTACAAGGGAGTCAGTTGTTCATCTGAGTCTTTTGTCTCTTCGGTATGGCTGGTCTGTCATATATCCGTCCTTGCGTGAGTAAACCTGTGGTAGGAAATTGGCTACTGAACAGTATAAGATCAGTGACCACCCAAAACTTTAACTGAATTTCATGGAGAAATTGTCTTCGTTTTGCCAAGCCGAGCAGACATTCCGATTTATGTGGAGAACTATTACACTGAAACAACAATGTGTGGTAAAGCTGCTACCAGATCAGGCTCGGTTACCTGCAAATTGTGCAGGTCCGAAAACAAGTCCATACATCTTGGATGGGAAAAATGCATATTCAACCGAAAGAAAGTATGTATAATTAAATAATTGTCTCATAGTTGAATATTGAATCGATGAAATATTTTGTACGAATCACAAAACACATAAAGAAATATCCTTAGTCATTTTGGAAAATCGTTTACTCGAGGGTGAAATAGGATCCACTTATTGTAGTGCATTTTGCTAATATACTCATGTCAATAATGGTTGTCACCCCCTTCAATTTTTTTAATTGGAGAGGGTGTGTGGGGTGGGGGTGTGTGGCATGTACCATTACTGGCATGAGTATATAATAACAAGGGCGCATAACTATCATATTTAGCTTCTGAGAACTTCTGTCGAAAACAAATACAAATGTCCACTGTGGCTTGTACTTTAAACTGACCCCACTCATTTTCACCGCAGCAAATATAATAAGCAGTTGTGAGGTAGAGAGTATGTTCACATCATCGAGAAGTACACCAACGGGAGATTGCTCAACAAATGGTATACTCTCCCAAAAAGGCAACGCATAGGTGATATTGACACATGAATTTCAAATATTTTTCAAAATTATTGTTTGATTCTTAGAATTGAACCCTTATAATGCTTGTTTGTGCACATCAAACGAATGCACAGCACAAAAAACGCAACTTCGGAAACTTTTATGCACGTTTACCTTAGTAAGTGTCGACTCACTGCTGTAAATCGAAACACTGACATTGGACGTCTGGAGGCTGGGGAGTCTTAATCTGCCGTTACATGCCACCTCGACCTCAGATCGGCCTCGAAGTAATAGACCTCGGATTACCACTGTAGCGATAGGTGCATCCGGGTATTTGACTTTTCGGACTGATCTGTCAATCAAACAGGTGCAACGGCAATAACAGCGTCTGGTTTGATGAGAGTGTCGACTCAAACCATTCGTAATCGTTTACGAGAGAGTGGACTTCGAGCCAGAAGGTCCGATTTTGACCCTGTACTGCGACAACCACATCGACATCGACGGATTCACGGGTTTAATAACGTTTGATTATGGAATCTACAAAACCAGCGACGGATTACGCTTTCTGCTTCTGTGTCGTGACGGAAGGGTATGTGTCTATCGACATCGAAATGAACGCTTCGCTCCGAATAGTGTTGCGAAGGTTGACCGATATGGTGGTGGGAGCCACATCCTACACGCAGAAATCTAACTTTAAATTTAACTGCTATTCGGTACAGAGACAAATTCTTAAGGATTCACATGGTTCCCATCATTGACCGCCAGAGTGAGTTCCAGCAAGATAATGCCAGGCCTCATACAGCAGATGCCGCTATTCTGTATCTTCAGAATGAGAACATTACAGTGCTTCCGTGGACTAATCGCCCGACCTCAACCCCCACCTTGAATTTGTGACATGACCTCGACTGACACGTACGTGAATGTCAACCGGCGCCCCAGACGTCAGATCAACTGTTGCAGGTTTTGAAAGAGGAAAGGACCAGAATTCCGCAAGGTCGAATGCAAAGACGTATTTAGTCCATGCTGAGACGATGCAGAGAATTATTTGGGGCTTATGGTGGCCACATAACATATTGAAAACACCGTCCAACTGAGACGAACGCCTTCACAAAACATCTTGAAGACTGATTGACTTACTGAGTATGGTTTTACGCCGTTTTTAGCAATATTCCAGCAATATCAAGGCGGGGGACACCAGAAATGGGCGTCACAAATTGTACCCATGTGGGGAAGCGAACCCGGGGCTTGAGGAGCGAACGCTTTAACCACTAGGCTACCCCACCGCCCCCACATCTTGAAGGCAACTCCCAACTGAGATGAACGCCTTCAGTTATTGAACTTTTTGTCAGCGACACATGTCAACAGCCATTTGATCTACTTTCTGTGAAATTTGGCTGACAGATCCAGAAGTACATGTATTATCTCACTTTAGAGTTAGCAGATTAAATTTGTGAAAATATACCTATGCATTTCTTTTTCGGAGAGTTTCAAAGCAAAATTTAACAGAATCACCCGCCTCCATCTCACTGTTCTTTCTTGCTGTAGGGACGTGTTGCTGGACGCACTCCAAGCGTCGACTCGAAGGAAGCTGTCTCTGTACCTCAACATTGAGAGGCTGCTGAACGAAGATGGCATTGAACCAGATTATAATGGGCTGGCAAAGCAAATTGGCTTCTCCTTCTTGGAGATCCAGAACTTCGGCCGGCAGAAAGACCCAACAACGGAGGTGCTGAACGAGTGGACGAGGAGACCAGACTTGTCCCCCACTGTTGGTCAGCTCTTTTATTACCTGAGGGTGATGGGCCGTGAAGATGTGATGACAGACTGCAAACGTAGCATCAGTGAGTTTCATTCAGGTTGTTCTGTTTCTGAAATTGGCATATCTTAAGTTACACGATGACCAAAAGTATACACTATGAATGTACTTTCATAAATAAACTTAGGGGTATTTGAAGTTTATGCTTTGGTACAGGTTATCCAGTAAATATTTTGGGAGTTCTTAGATTAAAGATACAAAGTAACAAACTTCAAGGACCCCATCTGTTTCTGATCATATCTTGTCCCATAAAAATAGGACCAATGAGGGCCAAGTGCAGACGAGTTACAAGCAAACCTGTTGACATATTGAACATAATTGTACAGGTCGTACAGAACATATTTGCACAGGTCGTACAGAACATACGTGTACAGGTTGTTTACACTTTTCCTTCATATTCATTATGCTATTCATGTGCAGTGGTTAGTGCTGTGTATCATGACGACACTTTTTATTGATATTTGTTTATCATGTTTACTGTGATGCTATCGTAAAATGAAACCGATATATTGTGTTACATCGAATGTTAACCAAGATACAGTGTTGTATACACAGCACTGACAACATCAGAGAAATAGCTTGCAGTCAGCTGACAAGCGTAAAAAATTTATTTATTTACTGCAGAATCTTCCAAGTTTGTGGATGTGGTCTGGTGACAATACAAAAAGAAGTGTTGCCTCCTTCTATCGAGATAAAATAACAGCACTCTGTAATTATATGGTTCATCATTCTTTGACTCCTAGTATGCAAGCACAGATGAGTGTTTTCTTGTCTGCACTTGTCTAAACACGATGAACACAACATTTCCATGAAAAATGACATCGTGAGATGAGTCTAACTCAGTTGTAACGGATTGTGCTTTATTCAGAATTGTTCCATGCATAATCCCTTTGACTGTTTCAGTTTTGGACATCGAACACCATGTCTCACAGGAAGAACGTCGCCAGAACGACGTCGTACCTCTCCAAAATGACACCATGTCCAAGAGTTCCACCCCAAAATCTTCTGATTTCACAGCTCATGACACTAATGAAAACAGAAGCATGACTGTTCAGGATGGTGGGAAGCTTTTCTGTCTGCAGTAACTATGTCAAAGTGACGGTGATTTTGGTATAGACAATCAGTATGTTGTTCCACTGGTAATAATCACAATTACTCTTGTGTTTTCTGCGATAGGCATTTGTAATGTATTGTATTTGTAATTGAACACGGAGGTCATCCGTTATCATTGTTATCATTATGATAACGATTAGATTTATGAGGTTTTACCACAGAACGCCTCACAGACCCGGGTCAGTCCTTACTTCAGAACACTGTCAAGGAAATACAGATTTAATGGCAATCGATCAACTACGTATCTTACAGCACGGATGTTAACACGTGTGTCAGGGTCGAACGTTTTCATTAACAGAATTGTGTCAGAATAAAGACACAATCACACATCTTTAAATAAATCTTATGATAGACACAAGCAACATTCTATACTTACTCTGATGTAATAACATCGATCTGAGACACCTGTAAACACACAAAAATTCTTCAAACAATGAGAACTATCACCCTTGCATCACTTACTATGTATTTTTTCAGTTGAGAGCAACACACCAACGTTTTACGATGCGTTCGTGTGTAGTGACCCAGAGGGTTATGACCTGCAGTTTGTGAAGAAGATGCTGTCGGAGCTGGAGTCTGCGCGGTATGGTCTGAAGCTGTTTGTTCCTTGGATGGATGGTCTGCGTTGGTCTGCCGTGTCAGCCAAGGTGATCCATGACAGGTGAGTTCCTTCAACAGAATAGTGACCCTTTTTAATAGATCCTACAGTGTAAATGCTCTTCGTTTATAGTATATGTTAGGTATCCGGTCCTCCATGATTGCCATTACAGAACTAAAATGGAAGTGTGGAGGTTACAGTATGTGGTCTGTGTGACTTCCATGCCCGGTTGGATGGACACTTTCCTGCTGGCAGACCACCTTGCCAGGATTTGACTGTTTACCGCCCATCGTATTATAGGTTTGTAGAGGCAATAGCATGTTTTTGGCCAATACTGGCATTCGAACCACTATCCTTCTTAGCCAATGTTGGATAGAAAATTACCAAAGAGGTTAAACAGCTGATACATCAAGATCTGATGTCCACGCCCTTCTAAATTGGGGCCCAGTGACAACAATATGGACGCTGGCTGATCTCATGTTCATTTGGTCCATGAAAGTATTGTCTGTGATTGTATCATGGCTCTTGAATATCATTGACACCCACTCTTTCGTGGTCTTATCAACGCGGGACCAAAAAAGAACCCCAGAATTTTATAGCCAACAGGATTTAATTACTGTATCTTTTCCATGTTGCAGATGTCGAAAAATGGTGATTATTATGTCTCCCCGCTTCTTGAAGAGTCCAGCCTTCGACTTCCAGACGAAGTTTGCCCTCAGTCTCTCGCCAGGTGAGGATCCATGTAATCCTTGGCGTTATTGAGGTCATTTCCACGAGTTTGGTTAAGCCACTTTGAACAACATTTAAGTCATATCAAGGCGTATCAGTCTGATGTTCCGCGATGTCCCAAACTGATGCGTAGTTTAGATGAAGACAATAAACATGGCTCGGTCAATGAGTTTAAATGATAGACACACTACAGGGAAAACTGACGCAAGCTTTACGGAGAATAGCATCTGCGGAAATACATAAATAGACTGTTTTTGTGTCATAAATATGTATCTTATATGCACAAATGAACTTGTCATACAGGGAAGGAAGATAACTCCAGTGTAAGGGGAGATAATGGGACAGGTAGTGCTCGTTTCATTAAGAGGGTGTTGAACATGCTCTCAATGTTGCAATTAGTGAGCTTTATAACTTGAAAAAAATGCAGAGAAACAGAGCAGAGGGCAGAGTGTGTTACGATGTCAAAATTGCTCATACATTTATACTTGTCATTAGTTTTTTTGTTTTGTAGATTGCCTCCGAAAGAAATTGGTGCCTGTTCTCATCACGCCGTGCATCATACCCCAGAACCTCCGCCACATAACTCTCTGTGATTTCACAAAACTAGCATTTATGGAGTGGTACTGGCATCGGCTTGCCGTAGCAATTAAAGCACCCCTCTCCTTTGACGAGCTTCAAATCAACGACAAGACTTCATTGGAGGACATCACTCTTAGTCTGGATCAAGAACAATATCACAACAGTGGCAGCAGTATCAACAGTAGCCAACCACTACCCATCATCCATTCTTCTTCCTCCTCCTCCTCCTCGTCCGCCAGACCTGCTGCTGCTGCAGCCAACTCCCCTGGATCAAGTAGCTCAATGGAAGTAGGGCCACCAGTGCAGAGTGCCCCACAAGGCACCTCGACACTCCCATCCAAACAGGCATCAAGGCACTGTTCCCCCACGTCGTAGACATCGACAGACTGACAGAAGCATCTTACAACTATTCCCATCCAGTCAGTGTTGAGGCTGTTGGCAGTTATCATCCGAAGCATCACATGAGTTTGTTCCCACACAGTCAGTGTTGATCTTTATCCTTTCCGACTGTAAGAATTTAAAGACTTAAATCTGCAGAACATATTTGTTTCCAGAGAAACTGCTGATTAAAATTTTGCAGGCCTTGCATGAGAAGGAAGATATATCTTGTTTTCCATTGCTTTCTTTTAGCAGCCTTTTGTTTTTGATTTAAGTATGCCTATCCTTTATTTCAGACATGTTTCATAAACCTTGAAGGAAGTTGTAGGATTAACTTGACCTTGTCTCGGCTATACATGGGAGAAAGACTTGATGCATGTCTAAAGTTTGCAATCACGATACTTTATTTTCTGAAACAGGGACCCATTTGTTCATTAGAAATGCTCACATATAATAAACATACGATTTGACATTCACAAGATCCCTGAAGGGCCATAAAAGGTTTAAATCAAGACGGGGTTTAACAATCAATGAAAGGATCAAGGCTAGATGGAATCTAGAAGCTCTCTATATCTAACTATGTGTCAAATGGTTTTGTCAACCAGAAGGCAGGAGTGTTAACTCATTACCTATACAGTCACAATTGTACAATAGACTCTGCTTTTAGCAGATATTTCTTATAAACGTGGAAAGGGTTTTGTCGCTTTTATTTGTATTAACAATCATTTAAAGGACGAAGGTTTGTTGGGATCTATGTAAATATGTCTCAAAATGTGTTGTCAACAAGATTACCTGAAGGAACTTTGAGCCAGTTAAGATTGTGAGATAAGTCTACAACATGTTTTGAAATGAAATTGAATGATTGTCAAAAGGTACTTTTCTTTTGTCCGGAGACTTGATCTGCCTATCAGAGTAATGACCTGCTGCTCATCGGTTGTACACAGATACATTTGACGTGTGATCATAGCTTATGGTTGGACAGCTGTAATATATTTAGGAGTACTATTTACCAACGTTTTAATAAATGTTTTGCATGTCAACAGTATATTTCATTGCAAAAAATATGGATGTAATTCGATCAGTTTAATCTAGTTGTGAACATTGGCCAAACATTTATCGAAGTCACTGGTGTAGCTTCTTTAGAATATATATATTCTTCTATAAGTTTGTAGACCGCCCGTCTAAGTACTCCCTTGTCAAAGTTGTCAAGGATGGTTTTACGTCCCGGTTTTGCTTTTGAGACGGTCCTGTCTTGGCTGATTTGTTTACAATATTGTAAACTTGTTGGTATGACATACCAACATATCTACAAGTTCTGTATTAAACCATTTCTATACTAATGAAAGGTTTACCTCTGTCTTTTTCAAGCACAAAAAACTTATAAACCTTTGCAACAATCGTCTGCAAATAGTTGGCCATAGTGGACGCTGCGATAAAGATGTGCATGCATGACGGGAAACTTTTTTTATCAAGACTTAACATTTATATTAATATTTATTCAATAAAGAAGCGATAATTAAGTAAATGAACACAAACATTCAACATTTATTTGTTTAAGAAAAACGTTAATTTATATTTTACGCCACCTGTATTATTAGCATAAATGTAAAGACTATTTCAGATTTCTGTTGTTGAACTCTGAAGAAATCTTAAGTTGTTGTTTTGGTACCAAATTCTCTCCTGTAAACTGCCCTTTAAATGCATGGGAATGTTAAATCAATTGAAATAAAAATTAGGTACACTATAGGTGAGTTGATATATTGACAACATAATACATTTATCACCTTTCTAAAGATATTAAGGCTAAAAAGCATTTTTCTAGCATTTCCGACAGTACTTTAGGAGTACTATTTACCACACAACTAGTGGTAGGAAATATACATATATTGAAGTGTCTGGTTAATACCATACAAGCAGTGGTAGGACAACAGTTCATATCTCTAAGTGTTTGGTTTATAACATGCCGGAGAAGTAATGTCACACAGGACTCAGTTCATAAATTTTCATTTAAAGGTATTTGAATATTCAGGGGATGGTCTGTCCCTTATCAGGCTTTCTCCAACATAGCACAGCTGCCTCCTAGTAGTTGGACTGGTGGGTTTGGAATGTGTAGTGTGGTTTTCCACTGGAAGCTGATATTACCTATCTGTAATGTGTTCAGCTGCCTTGAGCCTGTCCTGAAAGTCTTTATTGTGTTATTGCGTGTACAGTGTTATGTAAGGCTGTCTTCTGCTAAGAGCGTAAATTTTAAACGCTCTACCACGTATAGTGTCCTATAAGACTCTATGCTGCCTATTTTGTGCTGTAGGTCTCTCTTGTGCCTATTAGGTATCCTTTCAGACTCTTCTATTTATAAGGTGTCAGTAGGACACTTCTACCTACAATTAGGGCTCTATTGTGTCCTATCCCAGTTGGCCACCGTCTTTTTGTCATTGTAATGTTCAAGATTTAGAATGAGCTAAAAATAGCTTTCGCATTAATATTCAGATTGGAACCAAACATTTTTTTAAACTCCTTAAGATATAAACACAAAAGAATATATGATATGCTTTCATCAACAACTTTTCACAGAATCCCATAAGCTACTTGACTAAAAGATGCAGGTGCAGTACATTAACAACGGATACATACAACATAGATACCTTGTCGTGACAAGGGTGCATTTGGAAAAAACCATATATCATTGAGGTTTAAGTAATAATTGAATTCAGTGTTTATTCAAACAGAGGTCTTGGCAGGACGTGACCGCCTCCGTGGTGTAGTGGTTAGAGCGTCCGCCCGGAGAGCGGAAGGTCGCGGGTTGGATCCCCGACCGCATCATACCAAAAGACGTTAAAATATGGTACTTGTTAGTCCTGCCTGGCGCTCGGCATTAATGGGTACAGCAAGGACTGGTCGGCTCGGAGTCAGTATAATGTGTCTGAGTGGGGTATTCATGCTTCACTGCGGCATGGTATCTCAGTGGGCTAGCACTGGTTAGCACTAAAACCAGCTTCAGTTTGGGCTAGTACAAGCAGCCGCACATACACATACACACGCATACACATCATCATATAGCAAAAATATTCTCAAAATACGGCAATTAAAGCAAATTTCCACCTCACCTCACCTTACTTGAGACGTCCCCGACCTGTTGACCAAAAATAGATTCAAGCCCCACTGTTACTCCATACGCTTGTATGAATTATGTGCTGGAAATTGACATACCACACATCTTCTGCTATTACTACTGCTGCTGCTGCTGCTTTCGCTACTGCTGCTACTGCTGCTGCTGGCCAAGAGGTGAGGGGAGTGACACAGTAGTTGAAGTCACTCGTTACGCTGAAAACCACAAGGTTCCGATTCCCCACATGGGTACAATGTGTGAAGCCCATTTCTGAGGGTGTCCTGCCGTGATATCAGCTAAAGTACAGCCTAAGCCAAACTCACTCACTCCACTCACACTAGTACTAACCTTAGTTGTGTTTCTGTTTGGCACAGTCCAACTGCTGTTTCTATCCACAGAGGTGGTGAAAACATAACACAACCAAGAATAACAATCAGTTTAACAAGACCATTGATTTATTGAAGGACAAACGGTACACTCTGCCTTTGATTTGACAGCTTGTGAGTGGGAGATTGACATTTGACACCCGTGTTACATGTAAACGTATGTTTTGATATTTGCCGTGTGTAACCCTAATTGTCACGGTATGGCTGAAATAATGTCGATGCGACTTTACATTTTAACTTACTCACTCTTCTTATCTCCCTGATAACAAACTGCCATTGAACATGTTGTATGTAGATCACGTGACACCATGTCATCGTGGATCAATTTGGTGCAATGACGAAGGCCAGCCATTGTAGCGGTCGTTTGTAGATAAAGAGGTACGTAGTGACCGTCCAGCCGTTGTAGCGGTCGTTTGTAGATTACCAGGTACGTAGTGACCGTCCAGCCGTTGAAGCGGTTGTTTGTAGATTACCAGGTACGTAGTGACCGTCCAGCCGTTGTAGCGGTCGTTTGTAGAAAACGAAGTACAAGGACGTCATCCAGGCATTGAAGCCATCGTCGTCAGTAGGTCTGTCCTACAGGGTTCTGCAAATGTTCATAAATGTTACATCAAAAATTATTCACGCAAAATAGCGATATTAAAGTTTGTCATGCGTGTTATGCCCAGTGTATACATGTATATGTTTCACTATGAGAGATAAAGGACGTGTCTTAACACAGCAACCACAGAACAGGACGTTAGTATCTGCCATGGTGTGAAGTCAGGTTACAAGCCAGTAACATACAGATATTAGGACTTGAAACCATACATTTGTTGTTTTATCTTTCAGGACTTTCTGATATTCCATTTATGTCATGTCAAGATTCATATATCTATCTTATTAATAAACACGTTTTTCCCTTCAGCAGTTAGCATGATCGGTTTCTGGGAATATAGCTAGTAATATACATATATTTGACATAAATGCAAATCGATAACCTTAAAACCACATTAAAATAACAAAGTAGAACTTTCTGTGAAAAGCCTAACACAATTCCTTCAACATATGACACCGACGGTGCACACAACCAGCATCAACACTGACATTAAAATACAGAGGGGTGACGTTTGATAAACTTTGTTCAGTATTAATTATTTGGAAGAAAACATGAAAGGCTTACACAGCTTCATCCTGTGTTTGCTCGTGACCTGAGTACTGCATCCTTCATCTCCGAATCCGGCTGACGTCATTACAGATCCTCAACCTCCATTCCTGTATCAGTACACTTCCTAATATTAGCATTATGAATATCAACGGAAAAACAAAACATCATAAACAATTACATTGGGGACACAGCAAAAGAACATATTCTGTTCTCTTTTTCAGTTGAAGGAGTTTTCAAGATCTTGTCAAGGTAATGTGAATGTAACTATGAGTGCTGGACAAATAGATGCATTCACAGCTTGCATATTTACAGTGAAGAATCGCAGGAAAGTATGATACTCACGTCTCTCGGAATTGTTGTTATGCCTGGCTCTTTCAAGGGAACCAGATCCTTGTATACTGTCAGGCTAGTGCTAGTCACTGATAACTGAGTCATTATCTCACATCTTCTCAGTAATAAGCGAATGAAGCTAATAAGCGAATGATGTACAGCGATAGGGCAGAGATAATGCAAAGAGTGAGTTGTAGTACCAATATCATACAGCTTCATGTGTTATATACCATTCAGCCACAGTAAACGCCTTACTTCACACAATCAAACATTCCCTTTATATACCAATATCACACACACACAATCAAACATTCCCTTTATATACCAATATCACACACACACAATCAAACATTCCCTTTATATATCAATATCACACACACACAATCAAATATTCCCTTTATATATCAATATCACACACCACACCATCAAATATTCCCTTTATATATCAATCACACACACAGTCCCTTTTATCAAACAGTCACACACACACCATCAAATATTCCCTTTATATATCAATCTCACACACACAATCAAACAGTCCCTTTATTCCCTTTATATACCAATATCACACACACAATTCAAACAGTCCTTTATATACCAATATCACACATGCATCAATATCATACACAATCAAATCATTAATAATAATAGTCAAACATTCCTTTATATACCAATATCACACAAACAAAACATTCCACACACAACTTCAAACATTCCCTTTATATACCAATATCACACACACACAATCAAACATTCCTTTTATATACCAATATCACACAATAATAATCAAACATTATATATCAATATCACACACACACAATCAAACATTCCCTTTATATACCAATATACCAATATCACATTCACAATATACACAATGAAACACACATGCACAATCAAACATTCCCTTTATATACCAATATCACACACACACAGTCAAACATTCCCTTTATACACATGCACAATCAAACATTCCTTTATATACCAATATCACACACACACAATCAAACATTCCTTTACCAATATCACACACACACAATCAAATATTCCTTTATATACCAATATCATCACACACACAATCAAACATTCCCTTTATTCCTTTATATATCAATATCACACACACACAATCAAACATTCCCTTTATATACCAATATCACACACACAATATCAAACATTCCTTTACACACACATCAAACATTCCCTTTATATATCAATATCACACACACACAATCAAACATTCCCTTTATATACCAATATCACACACACACAATCAAACATTCCCTTTATTATCAATATATATATCAATATATCCAATATCACACACACACAATCAAACATTCCTTTATATACCAATATCACACAATAATAATAATCAAACATTCCTTTATACCATTAATTATCACACACACACAATCAAACATTCCCTTTATATACAATCAAACATTCCCTTTATATATCAATATCACACATGCACCATCAAACATTCCCTTTATATATGAATATCACACATGCACCATCAAACATTCCCTTTAAATATCAATCTCACACAAACTCAAATTCCCTTTTATACATCAAGTATATATTGACATAACACATTCCGTCTCAGACAAACAGAATCACGAGAAAATTGAATAAAATGGAAATCTAACTGTCAATGCCATGAACTCTTCTATACGCATATAGACGCAAGTATCATTAAGTAGTATTATGACGCTACCGTCGTTACCGATGGAATTATGGCGTAAATCGGAACTTTATACCGTTGAACACATCACAAGGGGCACATGCAGGTAATTATGAATGTGAAGAAGTATGTTCCGCCTCACCATATATGTATGGGCAACTGAAGGTGACGGTCTCCTCCACATCAGATAGAAATACGCTTCTATTGATGATCATCTTCATCCTCAGAACTCTGGTGGTTAGACCGTCCTGCAGTAACATCCCAGATATTGAACAGACAAGCACCAAGTAAGTTAAAATAAATACATTTAATAAAAGTGAAGTGGCACGTCCTAACTCAGCTCCAAAATCAGTGGATAATTTATTAAATACATCTTGTCATTTTGTTTGGAGGATATGAAGGAAAAGACAATTAATAAATTAAAAATTAATAATGTTAATACCTCCGTTATGGATTCGACCTCACCACAGGAAGTGCTGTACCGGAACACGCCTGCATAACCCTCACACCAGTCAACGATACCGTCACTAGGATCAGGTGGGGTGGGGGCGATGGCAAGCTTACAGTCGGGTGTGTTTCTGTGATCCTTGACGTAGATGTCGTCGACGACGTTAATGCTTTGAGGAGGGGTGATACAGATGCTGATGTTGTTGGGGTTACACTGACTGAAGTCTGTAGTGAACATTGGTAAAGATGAAGATGACACAAACATGCATTGATCTAGTCAGGGCGGATGTGTTGGGGTCACACTGACTGAAGTCTGTAGTAAACATTGGTAAAGATGAAGATGACACAAGCATGCATTGATCTAGTCAGGGCGGATGTGTTGGGGTCACACTGACTGAAGTCTGTAGTGAACATTGGTAAAGATGAAGATGACACAAGCATGCATTGATCTAGTCAGGGCGGATGTGTTGGGCATCATCATGCCAGTGAAAAGGAACAGATTGACTAACGTAAGAAATGTGGCACGGCGAATGAACTGAGTGTAAAGTTATTTATATCCAGTTTTAAAATGTAATATTTGCACTTTCAAAACTAATTGCCCACATGCTGACGCTAAAAGAAAGCAGGGTTATAATTCCGATGCTTCCGAAGATTGACAGACACCAAGATCTGTAATGTATATGTCGACTCCAGTATTTTCAATGAGAATTGTAGTGGGGGAATATTTTGAATATTGTTTAACAGATTAGATGTTTCGTACATATTGCCTTGTCGCAGAGATCCCCTGTATAGTTCCTGCCACATGCACAGCTGGCCAGTGTCCTGTTAGACACACACGTCCCATGGACACAGTGGAGGCTGTCACAGCCAGGTCCTCCTTGTATGTCATCTGAATAAACCTCTATATAGTCAATACATGCTTAGTGTAGAAATATAGTGTACATTAATATAACTAACATTTATATAGCTGTGGTCTTGAATTGGCATTTCATTTTTCAGAAATGGACTATAACTTCATTTATAATGCCATCTATAGAGGTTTAGATAGACACTGGTTATATTCAATTTTGTATACATGGATATGTGTACAACATTTCAACTGCAAACACAATATTACCTGTCCTTGCGGTATTGTTTTGTTGTGATGAAATTTGTTAATGAACATTAAAATTAGGAAGCTGTCATCTGATCATTCAGTTAATTATTCCGACTATAATATATTCCAGTGTTTATCGTTATGACATAGTGATGATTCTAGGTGTTCTTTGTCGCTGATGCGTCAAAGATGGAGACCTACCTTTGTGTGTGGCACAGTTTGGTCCTATAAAAGAGCGAGAACACCAGCAGATGCCGTCTTCTTCAAGACATGAACCACCATTCAGACAATACTGACCAAGTCGTCCACAATGAGAGTTTATGGGATCTGAAAAATGTCGAAAATAGATAGTGTTGCACTGATCCAACAAAAGAAATACCCCAAGCAAAGATTAATCGTCAATGGCTTACATATGTCACCGTCGGGATGTGTTAGTTTGTATTAATAATGTGTATCCTGTGTTGACGTAATCACGTTCAGCTATCTTCCCTGGCATACTTACTGTCATCCTCCTCTACTTTAATACTCAGAGAATCTGTCTTGTTTCTACTGTCTTGTTCTTCTGTTGACCCGTGAAGATCCGGGGTAGAATAGGTCTTCAGCAACCTATGCTTGCCACAAAAGGCGACTATGCTTGTCGTAAGAGGCGACTAACGGGATCGGGTGGTCAGGCTTGGTTGACACATGTCATCGGTTCCCATTTGCGCAGATCGATGCTCATTCTGTTTATCACTGGATTGTCTGGTCCAGCCTCGATTATTTACAGACCGCCGCCATATAGCTGGGATATTCCTGAATGCGGCGTAAAACTAAACTCACTCACTCACTTCCTCTGTTGACGTGGTCGTGTACAGGGACCTGTCTTGGGCGTACTTACCACTATGTTTCTCTGTTGATGTGGTCGTGTACAGGGACCTGTCTTGGGCGTACCTGTCGCTATGTTTCTCTGTTGACGTGGTCGTGTATAGGGATCTCTTTGGGCGTACTTACCGCTATGTTTCTCTGTTGACGTGGTGATGTACAGGGATCTCTTTGGGCGTACTTACCGCTATGTTTCTCTGTTGATGTGGTGATGTACAGGGATCTCTTTGGGCGTACTTACCGCTATGTTTCTCTGTTGACGTGGTCATGTACAGGAATCTATCTTGGGTGTACTTACTTTCTTGTTCTTCTGTTGACGTGGTCGTGTACAACACGTTGTCTCTGATGTACTTACGGTCATCATCTTCTATGTTCACAGGTATTGTCAGGTTGGTGGTGACGCGGCTGTTGTTGACTGTGATGATGAAACTCTCTGAAGGCTCCATCAACTAAAAGGTCAGGTCAATGATTTATTTATTAGTCTCTGGCCACAGTTTATTCTTGTCTGAGTGAAGACGTTGTCGGTTTTAAAGGAGTAATCTGCAATTGGCGAGAAATTTACAACTGCACTTCTACCATCCGGGTATTAGCAGCTGGCCTGATCTAGAGGTATCCTGCATGTGTATTTCTGTGAACTGAATGATACCCTCTATAGTGAGGGTATTCAAATAAGGACATATATTGTCGCCTATCTATCATTGTTGCTGCACAAAGTAACTGTATATCAGAATATTTGTTAATGGAATAGCGGAGTTATTGGTTCAGTTCAATGTAGTTTTCAAATCTTGAACTTCAGTTATTGTAGTAACAGGACATTCTAACTTTCAGATTGTTTCATTACAAATATTGCTGTAATTATCCTTGTGATTTGAAGGTCATATTTTAGAAGGGTTTCCTTTGATGGGTACAATGTGTGAAGCCCATTTCTGGTGTTGCCCGCCGTGATGTTGCTGGAATATTGCTAAAAGCGGCTTAAAACCATATTCACTCACTCTATTTATTATGCACATGTACAGGAAAGTCAAGGTCTAAACAGCTGCATTTCAAAATACAGCTTTAGGTATATCAATGATTGGAGATCTTCCATCAACCAACATCTTGTCACTTCTACTGTTGTATTCAGAAATAAGGGATCGTCACTTGTTTACTGTTTGGATCAATGCATACAAACGAATTCTGAGTGACAAAACCCTTCAAAACGGTGCGACAACATTCACAGACCGTGATACTACTCTGCTTAAAATGTGTTAGGTATAGGTTGCAACATTCATTTCCCAAGTATAACTTTTACAAAGTTATTTATAATACACATATGGAACAACCACTTGCATGTAGTTACTACGGTGCCAGAGGTGTTTCGGCTCTTAGTGACATAACTGCTGATTCATAAACACATGCTCATAATATACTAATTAGCAAAAGAAGCGACAGTTTGGAATTTTCCTTCGCGGAAACGGATAACTGTCAACTCATTTAATGTTTTGATTGTATATTTTTGACAACATCTTCAACTTTACCTGAGCAAAGACATTTCTTCCAAAACTCAGAATTGAACCCAGGAAAGGGTCTCAAATACGCAACCTGATCTCGGAGATGGTACTGTGTTCTCCATATTTTTCATGCAACTCATGCTGCACGTGCTGTTCACAAGGACCAGCCCTATAAAATGCACTCCCAAACGTGGTTGAAACATTTACATTACAACGTCAGCAGGATGCCCCGACTCACGACAGCTCAGAGGAACCAGGCGCTAGGAAGACTTTAAGCTGGCCGCACTGCACAAGCCGTTGCCAATCACTTCCAGGTCAACGTTCGGGCCCATCTACAGGCTGTAGCAACGTTTCCTGGCCACTAACACCACAAATGATCGCCCCCGTACTGACAGGCCAAGGGTGACCACAAGACGACAAGACCGCCATGTTGTGCGACAGCATGTACAGAATTCTTTCATGCAGGCCTCCGAAACAGCACACCAGACAGTGGGAACACACGGAAGACCAAACTTAACAGCGGGAACCTCCAATGCCGTAGACCTTACCGTGGACCTATCCTCACCCCTCGTCATCGGCGTGAACGTCTACAGTTTGCCCTACAACACCAAAACTGGCGATACAGGCAATGGAGAACTGTTCTGTTCACAGTTGAGAGTCGGTACTGCGTATCAACTGCAGATGGCAGAACACGAATATGGCGACGTGGCCAGCGTTACTCAGAACAATGTGTTATGGAAAGAGACTCATGGGGAGGTGCAAGTATCATGGTATGGGGTGGAATAGGCCTGAACCAGAGAGTGGATCCTGTGGTGTTCCAGAACCTTGGTCCAGGGAGAGGAGGCGGCTTCACAGCAGTGCGCTCCATCGACCAGGCTCTCAGACCCCACGTAATACCATATGTCGCACGTCACCGGAACAACATGATGCAATTCAGAGGAGACTGAATAATGTCATACCAAGGCCGAACACAGCCGATTTTTTGCGCCAGGCCTTTCTCAGAGTGTGGTTCAAGGTGTCAATGGCCTTCATCAATCGTTCGCGTAATGTCTTGAAATTCATTTATGTGTCAAGATATTGTACACAAAAAATGTTTTTCATCCGCTTATTATGTCCATTTCTTTAATGATTTGATTACAGTGCCTATCTAATTTTGAATTCGTACTGACGTTTTTGTTGCTGCTGAATATATAATGCGATTCGCCCAATCGACTCCACTTATCGTAGAGATTTTTGTGGTCATGGAAAGGGTTAGTCAATAGTATATGTTCAAATCATTCTGTATGTCCAAGTGTCTCACCTTGTCATTGAGGATGTGCACCCCCAGTGTGAGTTTGTTTTCTCCTGCAGGGAATGTGACAAGTTTGTTGGTAATGGGGACATAATCTTCCCCTGCAGTAGCAGTCACGTCCATGGTGTTGACTGTGAGGTGGAGTTCTGTCTGTATGAGGAACCTGCTGGAATGTTTATACAGGTGAATCTCTACATCTTGTGATCCTTCCCTCGTATTACCATAATGCCAGAAATAAAGAGTAAAACCTGGAGAGAGAAATAAAGAAGATATAGTCATTAGGATCTACAACAAACAGGGTTTACTAGAGGAACTGAAAACAGCGTCTGACATCATACTGACATTATGGTATTGAGCAAAGAAATGAAGCAGTATCCAAGTTATTACAATGTACATTTAAGCGTATACACTTCGTGCAAAATGAAGTAAGTATTATTGAATGAGCCTGACAAAATAACACCAAAGTGTCAATCTGGAATCAAGTGACAAAGAACATCATAATCACATCAGATTAAATGTTCGTACAGAAGCAATTCGTGACAATCCTGATGCATCGAAATGCGGAATGTTTCGCTACCATATAATACAGTATGCCTCAATCAGTAATCCCACATGGCAATTTCTGGCGTTGTTTAATCCTTGTGCCGGAGTAGTTCTACAATTTAAAGCTACTGTAACATAGTTCAGTATAGATTCAATTTAAGAAAAACTACCAACGTGTGAGTACACACATCAGTTAAGTCCCTGTAAATTTCCGTATCGCCACTCACGTTCATTGTCGAGGATGATGACAGTTACGTTGATGTCTGGATCTCCCTGTGAGAAGTCTGTGAGCATCAACAGGAACTCCTCACTATCTTCTCCAACCTGGAACATGCACTTACCATCAATATGGGTCAAGGGTAATACACAATACGTATGTATTACATAAACCCATGCTCATGATACAGTAGCAATATTCCAATGGGCTCTTCTTTAAACATGGATTTCTTGTGGCTATAAAAAAGAGTTTCGTCGCTTTTACTGCACGTATTTGTCTCTGTTATCATGATCCATGAGGGGAGACAGCATTGTTTGTTTTCATTTTTAACGCCTCAATTTCCAACACTCCTGCCAGTGAATTGTGATGTAGTGTTTACTTCCATGATGATATTAATGTCATCAATATGAAGCAATGTTCATCATGTTTACTCATCTTCAGCAGCTCTATAATTATATAAAGGTTTAATAATAACAAGAGCAGTGTCTCAATATTAAACTCCCACTGATAATGACCAAGATTCCGTTCCTCGCTGTGAGACATTGGAGATTATGCGCTAAAGATTATTTGCTATGTTCACGACTGATCACAAAATATGTCTCACATACTAGTTTCCCAGCCTTGTTCTGGAACAGTTACCTATTATATTCTTTGTCAAATAAATATCACACACGTACATTGTCATCTATGATCCTGAGAACAATGTCGAAGCTTGTTCTATTTGAGGTTACCTCCTGATCTACACTGGACGCCCCTGTGTAATCCATCCCAGCTTTAGCCGTGCCATCAGTTGTTGCGTACTGGAAGGGGGAAAATAACAATGCAAATGAATGCAACCAATGCCACTACTGATAAAAGACCGACCATGGATTACAATTAAGGTTTTGGACGCAACGGTGTTCTGGACCCGGCAACTGTGACCTCGATGAAACTATGGGGAGAGGATAATAGTTATGCCCAACACAAAGTAAGGTCGCCGTTGGTAAGCTGTACTAAACGTGATTGCTTGACAAAGTCATAACAAAAACCACGTGTAATACTGTGCCAGGGCCTAAGTGTATTCGAAACCGGTAATGGTAACTATTACGTATCTGAATATACCATACAAAACATTTCCAATTTGACTTACTCATACTGCATCTCCGATGCGTAATAATAAGCGCCCTCGTACTTTAACTATAATAGTTCGGGGCAGAAGTGCATTTTATTACGCTACAACAGCGAACAGTATTTCTTAAATGCATAGAATGTACATGTGTATGAAAAAGATCTGTCGGATGAAATGACAAGTTTGCCATATAAACTGGGGGTAAACCAGAGAGAACCTACCGAGAAGGTCCACACGCCGGCTGGGGGTAGGTCCTCGTTGCTAACAGTAAGAGCCAGGAATCCTGCAGCCTCGTCAACGTACGATGGATTTCTCACATATATCGCAGCTGGAAATGCAGTTGATATATATTTGAGAGATGAAGTTGCTTCATGAATTTGTAGCCTACTATTCCACGCTCTAAATCCAAACTAACTGCGTCGTAGATCCGATGGTTAGAATACAGCAATATGGATGTATACACAATAGCATCTATATTAGCATCTCTATTATCAGAGAGATTCCTTGTTGTGTATATGAAGTACCATGTGAAAAAAGCAAATTCTACCATGACATTGCTTGATTGTGATTGTTAAAGGGGGGTTCCAGGTTTTGTGACCATATCAAAGAACGCCCCAATCATCAAATAGAGTGGACTGACATCACGTCTCTTGCTAACAATCAACGGACCTTGCTAACACTAAACGCAAGCTCACCGAAGCCATCCACATTAAACGCCAAAAGCCCACCATCAACCGAGACCAAGGATACTTCATTCCATCCGCTTATGATGCACTCCTCCACCAAGCCCAAGCTGTTGTATAACATCTCCTTCTTTTTATACTACCCCCTTTTGATTTGTACATCTCTGGCTTCCACGCCTTTCCTTTCCAGTAATGTCAATTATGTTGTTTTCTTTGTTACATTCAGAAACAACACCTTCTTGTCATGTTACATTCCTGCTTGACAACGGTACAAGAATATGTCGAAACGTCGCTCTCACGTTATCCATAAAGTTTGTTCAATATTGTACGTCCCAAATTCTGAAATGCCATCCAAAGAAGAGTTTCCATTTTCCAACTGAAACCACTTTTGAAATTCAGTCTTTTCACAAATAATCTGTTTGTAATCGCATGACTTTGGCGACGACTTTGACGCCCTTGACCGTAACCCTGTGAAGTTGAGAGGACAACGCTAAACGAAGGCATCTCCTTTTAATGCAAACCCAAACGTTTACAAATTTAATACAAACCATAACAAAAGGTGCTTTTAGAAAACTTCATTCTTCCCAACATAATTCTTACAAACGGCTTTGTGCTCGAACTTCACCGCCATCACCGTCAACCATCAATATTCCGATGTTGCAGGAAGGGATTTGATTTTCGATTGCAATGACCTCCTTTCAAATGCCAAATGTTTTTTTAATTTGTATTTACTTGTGGCAATTGCTAACTAATTACATAGACTTGGATATTCAAAATTATTAATAGAATGTTAATTAACAAAGTTGCATTGGTCGGAGCAATAAATTCATTCAGTGTGTCGCTCTGATTTCCAAGAAATCACGTGGTGAGTCCAAACAGTCAAAACATAGGTCAATGATAGTGGGACCCGTGAAGGTCCGGGTTAGAATGAAACTTCAGTAACCCATGCTTGCCGTAAAAGGCGACTAGCGGGGTCGGGTGGTCAGGCTCGCTGGCTTGGTTGACAAACGTCATCGGTTCCCAGTTTGGCAGATCGATGCTCATACTGTTTATCACTGGATTGTCTGGTCCAGACTCGATTATTTACAGACCGCCGCCATATAGCTGGTATATTGCTGATTGCGGCATAACAATAAACTCACTCACTCACTCACTCTAAGATAGTGCACCTTTGTACCCATGTGTCATTGATAATTCAATTGAATTTAACGAACGTAAACGGCATTGTTCCTTGAAAATTGAAGTTTGGAAACTGTGCAACTTATAACTTGATGTTGTCAATTAGATAAGTATGCTTTGTTGGCAACTGATAAAAATACTTAAAGGAACACAATAAACATTTACGATGTATCATAGAATGGTTAGTTTATTTTATAGCCCAAATCTTACCATGTGCCGGTTGTAAAAGCGAGCACAGGGAAATGATCACCAGGGACTTGATTTGGGGTGACATGTCATCAGAGTCTGAAAATAACGAAACAAATGTTCAGCATAATGTCCAGGTATGTGTAAATATCGTGACAGTATGCAAAATGATACAAAGGCATTATATATAAGACAAACAAACAACACGCATGACAAAGGAAAAATTGTACTCAGTATTTCTGGCCTTTTGACCAACACTAAATGCTACAGTATCTTCTTGAACTCAATGGTTTACAACGGGCTGGCAAAGATTATAAGATCTCCAATGTTCACATTCGTTACAATAATAACACTATAAAATGCATACCTCAATCATAAAGATAATCACATGGGTTAATCAACATTTTACGAATATCTGTTCCAAAGGAAAAAGTAACTGTTCATACACGGTTCAACAAAATAAATTTATTCTGAAATTTAGTAATGCAACTTTCATTACATATTCGTGAAAACACTTTTCTTTACCCACGAAAAAGGCGTTTGCACTAGTAATGAAACCTCGACTAAATAAAGAAACGGATTATGTCATAATCGGACGCTCGTTTTCTCCCTACCCCACACTACACATACAAGCATCAAGGCATACGGTCGGTTGTACTTACCAGGCGAAGCCAGCGTGGAGAATCATATGATTTGCCCTGACTGTCGGATCCTTTCTGAGTGAACACTTCATGTGACAGTAACCAGTGTATGTGTAGTGCCGCTGCTCGCTGGAGATCTACACATAGGGGTGACAATGACTGAGTCACATGGTGCACAGGGGAAACTGATTACACTGACGCATTTTTTAAACTATACACGTGTATTATGTGTCGTTGGGCGTTCTCTCGATATACATGAATTGACTTCAAGCTCACAAGTTATTTGTATTGATCTACTGTACCGAGATGAACAGACAGGACATTTCACTTTGAATTTATATTATACCCTGTTTATGACGCATTTTGACACCAGGAAGTTTTGGGGAGGTATTGCTCTTGGTGAATTGATGACTGATCATCACAGAATATGTATCAGGACTGGATGTTGCTATGGTAATAATAAAGCGTACAATGGCACAATCAATGCTGTAGTGCAGTGAAGAGATATGTACACACGTATTTCTCTGTGGACTGGTAATAGGAAACTATGTACCTGTGTAATGTTTTATACAGACGCAGTTGACGGAACCCCGGCATGTGTCGGAAGCATTAGACAAGGGGCAATTACCTACCTCCATGCTACCGACATGCAATGATAGTGAAGGTGTAATGACAACACATGCTGGTCGACATTTCTGACGTCCAGATCAATGTGTGATGTTTCCAGTGTTTCCACCATACTGGGCGCGACATGAATACCACCTTTAATAACATATTGTTGATTACTAGTAACATCCATTGTTACCCATGGGAGTGCCTGCCATTTGAACAAGGCTGCCCCAAGCTGGGCCACTTCTTCTGGGCCTCTGGTGTACACCATGCCACCAAGCACATGTGGTCTATTGGGAATACATAAACTACACTCTCAGTTGCAGTGCACTTAGGGTAGACTATATGAAACATTTAAACTCATGTTTTGTAAGTATGACTCTGATCGATGTGTATCAGCTGTACTGATCGTTATAGTTTATGTGGTTAGTAGCTGGTGCTACTGATATGATGATCAGACATGATCAACGTACGCCAGGATTCGAGTCCACCATTTCTGGCATGTCTGGGGGTTTGTCCCTGTACAGGGAATTCCGCGTCTTAGAAGACAGCACCCGTATCTCCCTGGACACCAAGCACCCCGTGTCACATCATGAACCTTGCCTCTCAAAATGACACCACATCCCAGAGTTCCACAACCGCGATTTCTCATTTCACGGCTGCTGGTAGTGGTGAATACAGATACATGACTATTCAGGATGGTAGTTGACAACGGTATGAGAGACTGTGCACTGTGTACGCCTGTTATCATAATTACGTTTATTTCCATTGCCGTCAATACTGCATTCTACACAATGAAAATATAAATATAAGAAGATGTTGAAACTCACATGATATACTCATGGAAACGAATAAGGGCACACATGAAAGTACAAGTGTTGATTTATTCTTTTCCAGGTTTCTTCACAAGGTATGTATTGCACTGTGAGGGAAAATCTTGAGATAAATATAGGAACACTTGCTTCTATGAGTATAGTCTATGAATATAATTCAGAAGAGTTCAATTGATCAAATACTCCGGCAGAAGTTAAACGCTGAACATAAATGTCAATAAAATTAATTAACAAGACACCCTACCCATCTGATGAGGAAAAGGGTGATTTCTATGGTGTTTGATATTTCTGTAAATACTATTTCTACTATGTTGATATTTAATTAATACTTGAAACGAGCTTCTGTTAACGAGATTCTAGCAATCAGGGCAAGCAGGTGGGGAACATGTCAAAGTTATATATAAAGTGCATTCATGAAATTAGTACATGTCACTAAGACTATTGAAGAAATACATTAAAACTGAACATGATTGTAACAAAACTACACGCTAGGAAAACCTTTGAATACATTATTACAGATGCGCAACGATAAGTGCTGAAAATAAGGCTCAGCTACGAAATCATTATCTTCAAACCATCAAGCAGAAACGTGAAGAATGTTTACCCAGATGAGACATTGGTAAATGTCTCTCACACAGCCAGCAGTCAGTAGTCTGTGGGTACCCAGTAGAGACTTAAGAAAGTCTGGGATAAAGTTACCAGTGGGAAAATGCTGGCTGTGTTTTCTCCCAAGCTGTTATCTCGTCCTTTGCGCCAAGGTCAAGGATAAGGGGACTACAAGTCAGAAATGAACAGCAATGTAGTTCTGGAACGGTTGAAAAATAAAATGGCCCCTGCTTTGCGCACCAAGTCCCGTATTATCATGGACAAAGCACACTATCACAGTCTGCAGGATCCAAAGAGCAGGCCCTGACGTCTAAAAGCCTTAGAGGAGATGTGGTGACGTAGCTGCAACAGATGAGTTTGACCGTTTCGTTCAGGCCTTCACAATCAAACCTCTAAAAGAACCCACAATTCTAACAGATCTGAGCCCGCGTACATGGTTGAAAATTACGTCAAAGGTCAGGGTCGCATCTCCTTATAATTCCCCTCTTACCACTGCGATCTGAACTCAGTAGAGTTGATAATGGAGTACCATCGAAAGTGACGTTGGACGAATGAACACAACGTTTACATTGCGGGACGTTGAAAAGTTAATGAATCACTTGCCATCAAGAAGTCGTCAAGAAGATAGAGTTGAGATACTGGTCTAGTGATGGACTTCAGCAAGCACCTTTCCCACCTGTAATTGTGACCGCAGCGTTGACACAAGCTGTGACATGAGTCAGACTGCGACTGAAATCATGAGTCGATCCTTCTTTTGCTGTCATTATCTGTACCTTTGTGTATCACGTGCGGTACGTGCTTGCGCTGTTTCTCCTTGCCTTGTGCCGCCATCCGTGAAACAATGTCACCTTTTAACAGCATAACAAAGTCTTCAAGAACTTTTTCTATTGGCAACAGAGAGCAGATATTTTTTGTACAATGTATTCAATGTCATGAAATTTCAGGACGTTTACCAGACTATTTTCGATTTCGAGTTATTTTGCAATTTATCATTCTCACGTGGAGACCATACAACTGTACCTCATCGATATGAATCATGTATAAAATGTAGAATAAACGGGTCAAGGGATGAGAATTACCTTAGTTGCATCACTTACTCACCAACGTTTTACGATGCGTTCGTGTGTTATGACCCAGAGGGTTATGACCTGCAGTTTGTGAAGAAGATGCTGTCGGAGTTGGAGTCTGCGCGGTATGGTCTGAAGCTGTTTGTACCTTGGAGAGATGACCTGCCTGGGTATATCGCACACACTGTGACGCACGCACAGAAGATTCAGAACAGGTGATCCCCTTCAACATCAAAGTGGCAACGTCATCTCGTAACAAATGCACTGGTGTCAATGCTTGTCTCCTGCTTCCTGGGTAAGAGTGTTTGTTAGCTCCCCACTTTATGCTTGCTGCAATATGATCAGCTTCCTCATAGTAAGGGAATACTTCCGATCCAACCATCACGTGATCAGTTAACTTGAGTTCAGAATATTGATAATGTTTGGGAAAAATAGAAACTATTGTCGTGTATTTTATGTGACTCCTTTATCTTCTAATATAATGGCCTCAATACTTTATCCACATTACTTGGTTCAGCAAGGCCGTCTACAGGAGTGATAGATACTACAAGAGTCGTGAATCACGATCGGCTATGTCAGCTTCAGATATATTTACTAGGTCTAAAATGAACATTGGAATACCTGTAATTTCTTGCTTTGCGGCCAATTTCATATACATGCTGACAGATAACGGGTTTGCCACAATCAGGTCACGAACCGGTGCATTGTTCAACAGTAAATGCTTTTCAAGGTCACTTAACAAATCACAGTTTTACCAATAAATATATATAAATACAAATATACAAATACGAACAGTCATTAATGAGGACAATATTGGTCCAAAGAGTGAAATTGTGATAGGTGCCACCTTTTCAGGATTTTGGTGAGCTATGGACCCGTGTAACTGCATCCGTAAATAGGTGAAGGATCTCAGTATGGTGAGAGACAATCATATACCATCCCCGACATAGAATATGATCGTGTAGCATTTTGATTTTGAGTTCGAAGTGTGTTCTCCTACTCTCCACTCAGTACTACAAACAACACAACAGTTATATGGTATGTCATGTGCGGTGCACTCTTGTTTATTTCCACTAAACTCCATCATCATCATCATCATCATCATTGCCATCAACATTAACTCTACATCATACAAACTCAATCAACATATCATAATGATCATTGTAATATATACAACTTATGACACTGTCATTCATGTGATATACAAACAGGATCACGTATTATCAGCTCACACCTTATACAAATGCTCGACGTTTTATCTCGTCAGCGCTCACAATATGCCAATACTCACACGTATTATCATGGCTCGTCAGCACGCACAATATGCCAATACTCACACGTATTATCATGGCTAGACAGCACGCACAATATGCCAATACTCACACGTATTATCATGGCTCGTCAGCACGCACAATATGCCAATACTCACACGTATTATCATGGCTCGTCAGCACGCACAATATGCCAATACTCACACGTATTATCATGGCTCGTCAGCACATACAATATACATATTCTCACACGTATTATCATGGCTCATCAGCACATACAATATACATATTCTCACACGTATTATCATGGCTCATCAGCACATACAATATACATATTCTCACACGTATTATCATGGCTCGTCAGCACGCACAATATACCAGTACTCACACGTATTAACATGGCTCGTCAGCACATACAATATACATATTCTCACACGTATTATCATGGCTCATCAGCACATACAATATACATATTCTCACATGTATTATCATGGCTCGTCAGCACGCACAATATACCAGTACTCACACGTATTATCATGGCTCGTCAGCACATACAATATACATATTCTCACACGTATTATCATGGCTCATCAGCACATACAATATACATATTCTCACACGTATTATCATGGCTCGTCAGCACGCACAATATACCAGTACTCACACGTATTATCATGGCTCGTCAGCACATACAATATACATATTCTCAAACGTATTATCATGGCTCGTCAGCACATACAATATACATATTCTCACACGTATTATCATGGCTCATCAGCACATACAATATACATATTCTCACACGTATTATCATGGCTCATCAGCACATACAATATACATATTCTCACACGTATTATCATGGCTCGTCAGCACATACAATATACACATTCTCACACGTATTAACATGGCTCGTTGACACGTACAATATGCCTGTACACAACATCAAACAGTGAAAGCAAAATCACTGAACACAAATGAACACATTTCATTCAGATGATAAAAAACATACCATAAACCGACCACAGGTTAATACTAGACTCGAGCGCACCGCAACTGAGAATGCACTTCGAACTCCCGCCTTTCCTTATAAACCCATAACAGAGCCATCTAGCGGACATTCTTACATCAACAAGTAGTACTTTCCTACGCAAGGAGAAAATAATTTCAATCTTATTCGTTCCTCAAACGAAAGAAATTATATTTTCTAACATTCCCAAACCAGATTTGACCGGGACTATGTCCACTGGCCTATTGCTTGACGATCCTTTCGTCAAAATCAGAAAGTACAACACAGGTAGTTGAACCAGCTGGCTATCAAACAATCACGAACCTAGTTTCAAAGTTTCTTTTTTGATAAATGTGATAAGATTAGAACAATCATGTGACACATCCACGTGCTAGAAATCTGGTAAGAACATAACTCTCGGACAGTGCGTGTCTCCAGACTATTGGTGAGTTAGTTTATGTAACATTCTTGATATATTCCTATGGAAATGAAAGCCATCGTAACATGTGGTCAGCATATGCTAACAAATCATACACAACTGGATACATCGGTAAGAATCAGGTAGAAGATAGGTTAGCATTAAATGTGAGGCTTGGACATTCGCGTGTCGAAGCAAAGTTTAACGTATATTTTATAGAAACTGCTTAGCATGGTTTTCTGTAACTGGTAACTTTACATCAGAATATTACCCGTGAAGATCCGGGTTAAAATTGATCTTCAGTAATCCATGCTTGTCGTAAGAAGCAACTAACGGGATCGGGTGGTCAGGCTCGCTGACTTGGTTGACACATGACGTCGTATCCCATTTGTGCAGATCGATGCTCATGCTGTTGATCACTCGATTGTCTGATCCAGACTCGATTATTTACAGACCTCCGCCATATAGCTGGAATATTGTTGAGTGCGGCGTAAAACTAAACTAACTCACTCACACATCAGAATATTTAACTACAAGTTAAAGATGAGCGGCAAACACAGTTGACCAGCTTTCATGTTGGCCTTTTGTGCATATTGTATCTAGCCTTGGTTTACATATGAACATTCATTAACATTCATTCTAATGTAACAAAATAGCGGTTGAGTAGCCTAGTGGTGAGCGTTCGCCCGTCACACCGAAGACCTGGGTTCAAATCCCCATATTAGAACAATGTATGATCCCATTTTTGGTGTCCCCCACCCTGATATTGATGGAAAATGGCTAAAAACTTCGTAAAACTAAACTCACTCACTCACTGACACCCACTAACTCGTCAAAGACATATCCACCCAATGTCACCTTTGTCCTGCTCGGTACGACTAGCTCAATCAGATTTCTTTGATGAGTGTAAACATAGTTGCCACAAAGAAAACTTTAAGACATTTCCCTACGGCGCATCCCAGAAGCCACACGAGTGTGCAGTCAAGAGTCGTGGAATGATGTGCGGTTGATTAGCCGTTTAAATATTTGAATGATCAAACACCATACAATTAAACTCCCAAATCCACGGCAGCTGTTGACCTTCATGTGTTCCACGAGATGTCCATGACGAAACCACTGACGTCACAAAATGCAGGACATGCAAATGTGTTCAATTCAAGTAACTAATTACTGTGTTTACATCTGTATTTCATTACACATGTAGCTCCAAGTTATATATATCAGAAACATATTTCAAAGGGCCATGGCATAAAGTATTTACAGCGTAGCTATTGGTGTGAGAGCTATATCTGAGGTCTTGGTCACTTGTCCCCATTTCCCCGTCAGCCACAATGCGAGCCCTGCTGGTGTGTTCCTGTCTGCTCGTGTCCCTCGTCTGCATCTCCGCTGACCTGCTGACCACGCTAACGATGATCCACAAGTCCCCTGCGTTCCACCAGCTTCCGCCTTCCGAGCAATTGCTCCTGGTTGAACTTATGTCCGAAGCTGCAGCTGACCAGCTACATGCATACGTCAGCCACATTGGCATGGACCGCCTCATCGCCATGATGGCCCGTATGTATAGTGTATGAGTGAGGGAACGTGGTTCAACGCTGCTCCAAACAGTATATGACGCAAAGCACGACAGTATAATATGGGTTCCAAACCTTACAGTAACGCACGGCCTGAATGTTGACCATTGTGGTGACCCCTGCCCCGATGTTGTGAAGCTCAATAGGTTTAACTCATCACCAGAGAAGTACTTCCATAGGGGTCAAGCACTGATAACAATTTGTAACATGATTTACCTGTGTACTGTATTCTGAGATCATCTTTCACCACAATAACTATTTATTCAATCGTTCTGTTTAAAGATCTGCCCGAGCATGAGGCTGGCCTCCTCTTGAAATACCTGAATGCGGTGAGTTGTAAATATGGTCCAGTACTTCCACTTTGGAGTTTGTAGACGTACTAGGTAACGACCAACTGGAGCTCTTAGAAATATATTGAGATTTTCAGTTTTTGCGAAGTATATGCGAATATAGACAATATTGACAAAAGATATTATGCCGACTTGTAGGAGTAGAATGACAGGGACGTACAGTAGGCCATGAGGTGGAGTAAACTGGCAGGGTACACACACAGGGTAAATTAGCCATGATGAATGTGTCATTCGACTAGTGGGGTAGACTGTGGAGACGAGCTCCCCCGTAGATGTCATCCTTACCTCGTCAGTTTGATTGGCTGACTGGGCTCACCTCTTTCGTCATGTGGACAAGGTGTCCGACTTCGGATAAAAATTCCACGCCATCCCGAGAGTTAAACGCTCATGGCGGCTACACTAGAGATGTACAGTGTTTGGTTCGGCTTGTGGGGGTAGATTGCTGGAGGGGTACAGTGTTTGGTTCGGCTTGTGGGGGTAGATTGCTGGAGGGGTACAGTGTTTGGTTCGGCTTGTGGGGGTCGATTGCTGGAGGGGTACAGTGTTTGGTTCGGCTTATGAGGGTCGATTGCTGGAGGGGTACAGTGTTTGGTTTGGCCTTTGGGGGTCGATTGCTGGAGGGGTACAGTGTTTCGTTCGGCTCGTGGGGTAGATTGCTTGGGTAAACCGGTGGGGTAGGATGGCGGGGTAGGATGGTGGGGTAGGATGGTATAGAGGGACTGTATTAAGTAAAACTGTGGAAATGCATGAGAGATGTAGACTACTGTAGAGTTGAGTCAGTATATCACTGGATGTTTGACCTACTGGGATAGGTGGTTTGTTCAATCCGGTAATCCCTGCCACACGCCTTTCCCGACACAAGGTGACGCAGTACAATGTTCATAATACAGACATGTCTAGGTGTGCCATTGCACGTGTCTTTGAGGTTTTCTCTCACATTCTCTCATCTTTCTAAAACATTGTATGTATATTTCAGGAGCTTCAGCAGGAGGGTCACCAGGGCAACTAGCTACAGAAAGAGTTGGGTGAACATTTCTTGCCATGTCAATAAAGACAATCTTGAAACATACATGACTATTATGTTTCCGATATGCTGGATTTGCCACTGTACCGAAAGTCAGAATATCGTAGGCCATCATTGCTATGTTCGTATTACATGATCGCGGTTTAAACGAATGACGTTTGTGACACAAGTTATCAACAGGAGTATATTGTTGAACTTAGGAACAGTGTCTGTGTTTGCGTATGGTATTCTGGGTGGGCAAAGTATGAAATGTGTTCCTTCCTCATCACATGATATAAAGCAAAAGGTGAACCTTCCTTCCGACAGCAGATCGATGCTCATGCTGTTGATGAGTGGATTGTCTGGTCCACGCTCGATTATTTACACCGCCGCCATAAAGTTGGAATATTGCTTAGTGCGGCGTAAAACTAACTCACTCACTCACTCATCTAATTTCACTGTCTTGAGTAGATGAATACTTTCACAGGCCATCAGTGGGTGGCTGTTTCACTTTGGTGTAGTTTTAGTTCAACAACTTCGTCGATTGTTACTTTATAATTAACAATTTATACATTTCAAGTGAAGTGAAACAAACTAAACTTGTGTGTTCAGTGCAATGCCGCATGTTATATCTATCTGCCCCCCCCCCTTTTTTTGTTTTCTTAGTGGGGGAGGGTTTAAAAGCATTTGAATTTAGAAAATATTATCAATTATGGAATAAGCAATGACTGGGAAGTATAGAAAATATAACACCAAATAGCATGCATATCCAAAGATATAGTTACTGGTTTTCTCCGCTGATGATGAGGCTGCGTCAATTAGAAATTCAAACATGTAACCAAAATCTAAACTGAACAAGCTCATGTGACCCTCTTAGACTGAATAGCATGAAGTTAAATATGACGAAATAAAAAAAAACTTGGTGTAATTGAAGTTCATTGATTGCATTATATACTGAGTCAAAAAGAAACTTCACATTCTTTCTTCAGGGCACTATAAAAGAACAAGAGATGGTAAGATGGTTAAATTGTTATTATTTCATTGCTGAGATCTGTTTGATGTACTCGATACACTGACAGTGCCATAATCAGTTCCATTAGGCTACACCGCCGTTCCAAAACATGGGTATACAGAATGTCAAGTCACAAGAATAAAAATGCAAAATTTCTCAGTTCAATATCGTGTATGGCCGCCCCGCGCATTCACCACTGCCAAACACCGTCTCCTCATCGACTGCCTGATGCTTGTGAAGACGTGGTTGGGGATTCTGCGCCATTGCTCTTGCAAGGCAGCGCCAAGTTCCTGCAAATTCTGAGGTTGGTTCCTAAGACCACGAAGCCTTCTCCCAAGTGCATCCCAAACGTGCTCTATTGGATTAAGGTCAAGGGACCTCGATGGCCAGTCCATGACGTTGATTCCAGCGTTTTGAAGGAAATTTCGTGTCAACATCGCGGTATGCGGCCGAGCATTATCATGCTGGAACTGTAGACCTGCAGCAGCAGCTGTGAGGTTTCCACGGATGACCAGAAGTCGGGAACGGTTGTTCCCACAGAAAGCACCCCACACCATGCAACTTCCGCCCCCGAATCTGTCGACTTCCTGTACACAACATTGGGAATACCGTTCACGACGTCGTCTCCAGACTCCATGCCTGCCGTCCGCGAATCTGAGGGTAAACCTGGATTCATCGCTAAAGACGACTCGATTCCAGTCTCTCTGGGTCCATCGGAGGTGACGTTGGGCCCACAGCAGACGTTGACGTTGATGAAACGGCGTCAATATTGGCCCACGATATGGACGTCGAGAATGGAGATTGGCAGCCCGCAACCGATTTCGAATGGTCTATGAGGATAGTCGACCTCTAAACATCTCAGCCCTGGTTCGTGTAGCCGGCAGAAATCTGTCACGTAGGTGACGTAGGACGATTTGACGGTCTTCTGCTTGTGACGTCACAGAAGTGGTGCCAGTTTGTTGTAGACGACCTCGCAAGTCATACACAGTACGACGGCTGCGTCCCATTGCTCTTGCGACGTCAATAACTGATCTTCCCGCTTGCAACATGCCAACGGCACGTTCACGTTGCACATTTGACAATCGTGGCATTTCAAGTACCGTTAGAACTGTGGCTTAAAAGTGTTTTTTCAATTCTTGAGGCCAATGCAAACACGTGCATATGAAGAAAACTTCGATGCGAAGATCACGTGATCGACTGCACGTGCAAAACCTTATTTGGCACTAACGTCATTTGCACGACGAATGGATGGGTTTGAGTGGGTTTTGCTAACGTTTTTCTAGATACGAAAGATAGGGATCCCATTTCGGATACATAGATGTATCATCAGAGAAACATTATTCATTATTTTTCAAATTACATTTTGTGAAGTTTCTTTTTTGACTCAGTATATCATGGCAGATAATACTTGCATGATAATGCATCACCAGTAGCATCCTGTGTTGGCAATGAACATGGACTTATACTTCAGTCTACAGACTTATAGTGCTGGTTGGTACCTGACACCTTGAAGGTTAAGATCTGACTTAATGTTGGCTCTGGGGCCGTGGGGTAGCCTAGTGGTTAAAGCGTTCGCTCGTCACGCTGAAGACCCGGGTTAGATTCCCAATGTGTGAAGCTCATTTCTGGTGTTCCCCGCCGTGATATTGCTGAAATATTGCTAAAAGCGGCGTAAAACTAAACACACTCACTCACTCGCTAATGTTAGCTCTCCTGATGTTAAAGCCATGTCGCCTTGCCTTTCTGTCCTGGAGGCTGCTATATACCTACACGTACATCTGCACCCTCATCAGCACCAAATGAATATGTGTGTTTACTCTGGACCAGGGTGTTGTAACTCTGGGAAACATTTGGTCATCTAAACAGAAACACGTTACATGCCTTGTATTTCTTCAAGGGACTAACACATCCAATATGAAGGGCTTGAGCACTTGAGGGCAGTGGGGTAGCCTGGTGGTTTCGATTCCTCACAATGGACCAATGCATACACAGGAACTCATTAATCGACTCCAGAGAATTCACAATACTGCAACACGCATTTGTCACCAAAACCCCTAACTGTAAAGTATTACTTCTGTCCTGAAACGCCTCCACTGGTTACCAATCCGAGCGAGAGTTGACTTCAAGATACTGACTCTGACATACCAGTGTGTTCACAGAACAGCTCCAGTGTACCGCCAGGAACTCTTCAGGCCGTACATCCCCGGTAGACAGCTTCGATCCAGTCACAGAGACCTACTGCATGCTCCTCGTTGGCAGCTGAAATCATATGGTTTCCGCGCTTTCCAGGTGGCAGCGGCCAAGAAATCGACCGAATTGCCCGACCAACTGCGAACATGTCCAACTCATAGATCTCACCTCAAAACTCACCTTTTCTCAGTATCATATGACTGCAACTAGAACTTTCTGTATGCGCTATGAGCATGCCCCCGGCGTGGAATTTAGCGCTTTAGAAATTTACTTATTATCATTATTATTACATTCTGAGAGTCAAAATCCTCCTTAACCTTTATGACAACATTCCCTTTACGACGTGCAATATTCCTGCAGCTCTGGACAGCCTTGGATGTCATAACTTGGCCGTGGGTTAGCCCAATGGTTAGGTGTCCGCTCGTCACACCAAAGACCCGAGTTCGATTCCCCACGTGGATACAATGTATGAAGCCCATTTCTTTTTTGCGACTAGTGAGAGAGAGGTTTATTCAAGTAAAGGGGCCACAGGCCCATTATACAAATGTACAAAGTGCAAGGTCTAACAAGCGCCATAAAATATTCAATATTAGCACAAGTGCTAATCAGCAGATACAAGAGGCTGTAGGGGTACTATACACTCAAGAATGCATTACGCTTCTTTAAAGCTAGATACACAAATTTTCCAAGATTATTAATAAGAAGTATATTCTTCGTCATGAACAACTGAGACAGTTTCTGTTGTGACGGGAAATTGTAATAACAATTTGGAATTGTCATTTCTCTAAGATTATTATAAAATGGACATTCTAGGCAAAAGTGAAATTCGCTTTCTACAGTAGGAATAATACACAATGGACACAAACGTTCATTTCGCTTTAGGCCAAGGCGTCTACCATATTCAATCATTAACATATGACTGGAGCTTCTAATTCTACTTAAGGCAATACGAAATACTTTGCATTGAACGTGATTAATGTAGAACTCTAAGCAAACTTTGTTTTTGATATTACTCAGAAAATCAAGTTTAGAAAAACACAGCATATCACCTTTCCATGATTGGTTATGAACGTCAATACATCTTTGTTTGAACAGAGATATGAAAGTAGTGACATTCCCAACATTCTGGTAAAACCAGGCATATCCAAAACCATATTGATTTAGAAGTCTTTTTACACACTTAATGTCCAACATGGGCGTCCTTTCTCTGCAGTTCGATATTGATATTCATACACTTTCTTTAAAATAACATTATCAGCTTGAGATACCAGTCTTATCCAATATTTAATAATTTTACAGTAAATATTAACTTTAAGGGAGTGTCTACCAAGCTCGGCATGAGCGAATATATTCGGGGTGCTTCTTGGAAGATTGAGAACTTGTTTGCAAAATTTGTCATGGATATTAATAACATTAGGTGCTGTGTGAAATCCCCATACTTCGCTGCCATACAGTAAGATTGGGAGAATTTTAACATCAAATATTTTGAACAAAACATGAATGGGGAGATTTGAGAAATTAGGTATTGATGATCTGAGTATACCAAGAACTTTCCATGCTTGTTCTGCGAGGGTGTTTTTTGAGTTATATACCACGAGCCTGAGCTGGATAAATGAACCCCTAAGTACTTATAGGATGAGACAGTATCAATAACATTATTTTTTAGATAAAATCGTTCGCATTTCTTAAGTCTGCCACCCTTTCTAAACACAATAATTTTACTCTTTGCTACATTGATTTTTAGTTTCCAACGGTCACAATAACCAACTAATTTGTCTAATCTCTTTTGGAGACCACCAACAGAAAAGTCAAAGATTACAATGTCGTCAGCAAATAGTAATATAAACAATTCAATTAGTTCCAG